GTAAAAAGAAACCTGTTGGCACAACAACGAGCTGCCGTTAAAGGATTTATTAGCAGGTTACGCTTGGAGCCGATGTGCTGTTCTTCAGAGTGTGATAAAAATGTTTAAAAACTTCAGACGTCTGTTAAAACATTTCAACTGTGATGGTTCAAGCAGACACATTCCTCTGACTGTGTGTGTGTGTGTGTGTGTGTGTGTGTGTGAGTGTGAGTGTGAGTGTGAGTGTGAGTGTGAGTGTGAGTGTGAGTGTGAGTGTGAGTGTGTGTGTGTGTGTGAGTGTGAGTGTGTGTGTGTGTGTGAGTGTGAGTGTGAGTGTGAGTGTGAGTGTGAGTGTGTGTGTGTGTCTGTCTGTCTGTCTGTGTGTGTGTGGGTGTGTGTTTTTCCACAGGGGGATTTGGGCTTTTTCTTCGTCTTCATCCAGAGAGAAAAAGAACATGCGGTCATCCAATCAGAGTCCCTCCCCTGGGATGTGAGCCAATCAGAGGCCTCATTGATGCTGAGTGAGGCAGGAATGTGAGCTGACCACCGAAGAAGAAAATAAACAGCAAAGTATTTCCTGTGGGCAGCTCAGCCTCGAGCAGAGCAGGAGAAACCCCCATGATCTACTTCTTTATGTGCTGCTTACACCTCACTGTTAGCATGCTAACACCTCACTGTTAGCATGCTAACACCTCACTGTAAGCATGCTAACACCTCACTGTTAGCATGTTAACACCTCACTGTTAGCATGTTAACACCTCACTGTAAGCATGCTAACACCTCACTGTAAGCATGTTAACACCTCACTGTAAGCATGCTAACACCTCACTCTTAGCATGTTAACACCTCACTGTAAGCATGCTAACACCTCACTCTTAGCATGTTAACACCTCACTGTAAGCATGCTAACAACTCACTCGTAGCATGCTTTCATTAGCTCCAGTCTCATTTAGACAGTAGGCTATTTAGGCAATGCTAAGCTAGCTGTTGGTTGTCCCGTTTAATGAGCCCTTAAAGTTTCTGGTGTCTGAAGGAGCAGATCAGAGGGTGCATTCGACTTGTGTTTGCTTAAGAAGGTTCCTAACTGAGTGAAATGACCCAGAAGCATTTAAGTGGTGGCCATGATAAGAGCCGTTTGAATTCTTTTTGAAATTTGAATTCATTTTTATCCAGATTAAGTTTTATTCAACATAAGAATGCTTTGTGCGGTTGTACATTTGTATAAAACATTCTGTATATCTTTCATAAATGTAACTATTAATTTCATCCACTCATTTATTCTGATGTTGATTTCTGAATGGACAGGAAGCTGATGGTTTCTCTTTTCTTACTCGTAGCCTGGTTGCCTATATGCCTTTTATTTCGTGGTAATTAGGATTATTTCACCGGTAAGAAAGATTTTTAGATGATCTTTTAGTAGTCCATTTTCTGAACATTGTAGTTTCACTGCAGCAGACCCACGTCAATAACCTCCGCCGGCCTGTTACATTTAATTACGTGGCCTAGTGGAGATGTGGACGGATTGTCAGAGCAACACGATGACCTTTCCCTTAGTCTTTTATGAATTCTCCTAACATCTGTCCTTAACCTCATGACGTTTTCTCCATGGTTAAGGTAAAGAGGATAGTGAAAGGGGATAGGAGGGACAATCCCAATCCACCCAGAGACTCATTAAAAACATGAACACAGCAGGTAACAGTAAGAGGGCGGGGCTTAGGCTGCAGAGACATGAAAGTAACTGGGACTTAAATACTTATTGAATCACCTGTTTATTCATTATAATGATGAACATTTTAATGAACGTCTGTGTGTGTGCTATCCTAGCTCCCTACAGCCAATCAGAAGACAGCAAACAGAAACATGGGAGTAACAGTAGCTCTCTTATTTCTGGATATAAGAGAGGAACTGTACTCTGTATGTGTCTGCGTGTGTGTGTTTGTGTTTGTGTGTGTGTCTGTGTGTGTGTTTGTGAGTGCGTCTGTGTGTGCGTCTGTGTGTGTGTGTGTGTGTGGGAGAGAGAGAGTGTGTATATATGTGTGTGTGTGTGCGCGCTTGTCTGCTGTGTAACCTCTCCTGGTTGAATTAAAGACATCTGTTTAAAGCTAGCAGCCTGGTATGTCCTCCATGATGCATTTCACTCACAAACAGCCAATCAGAGCCTGACAGGGATGTCATTTGAGTCATCGTTAAAGAAGACTACTGCTGCAGGCCACAGTCATCGACAGAGGTCGTCATGTTGGTGCAGCTGTAAAGTTGGACATTTTAACAAGGAGCTCTATGGGGACTGACTCACTGCAGGAGACAGAGGGTGCGTTCAAATTGTCCCTCCTATCTCCTTTCACTATCCACTTTACCTTAACCCCGGAAGCATTTAAGTGGCGGCCATGATAAGAGCCATTCGAATTCTCTAAAAGTTAAGGAAAGGTGGGTCAATGCTTCCTTTATAACCTCCTTTAGCATAGGATACACTGGACCATCCTTTATGAAAGGAGATGAGATTTGCCGCCCCACAATTCCTTGCGGCCGCAACATTTAAAGCGAGTCGCGCATTCGAACGTTCACGGAAATGAACGATGATCGTAAAGTGACACAGATCATGTTTTATTCAACATATTTCATTCACTTAAGAATGCTTTGTGCATTTGTATGCTTAAAATATTATGTGTAGGTTATATCTTGCAGAAATGTAACAATTAATTTCATACAATCATACAGATTCTCTTTTCTTACTCGTAGCCTGGTTGCCTATATGCCTTTTATTTCACTTCCTCGTGGTAATTAGGATTATTTCACCGGTAAGAAGGCACAGGGGAAAGATTTTTTGATGATCTTTTAGTAGTCCATTTTCTGAACATTGTAGTTTCAACACAGCAGACCCACGTCATTAACCTCCGCTGGCCCGTTACATTTAATGACGTCGCCTAGTGGAAAATGTGGTCGGATTGACAGAGCAACGAGATTGCCTTTCCCTAAGTCCTTTATGAATTCTCCTAACATCTTTCCTTGACCTCATGACGTTTTTGCGGGGTTAAGGTAAAGTGGATAGTGAAAAGAGATAGGAGGGACAATTCGAACGCACCCAGACTCTAGTGCAAAAAACAAATACATCTGATTATCTCATGTCTCGATCGACACACACTGTACGGGGGGTGAATGTTTTGATGACTCATCCGTTTTGGTTTGATGAAGGATAAGAGTTATTCACAATAAGGCGTGTAGCTGACCTGATTGACAGGTGGGCGCGGTGTAACAGTTTGTCAGGAGGTTTAAAACCTGCCTCAGCTCCAGCTCTCAGCCTGTTGTTAGGTTGACTGAAAGTTAGGGTGAGACAGCATTTCCAGCACGGAGACTGCCATCGATTGGACTCTAGCGCCCCCTGCAGGAACAGATGGCTTCGTCTCGTTATATTTACTGTGTATGGTTCAGACTCTGGTATTAACACTAGAACGACCGGCATTCTATCACTACTAGAAAGGCCATAGCAGTCATTTTGACTGTTTACTAATTATTTGCATATCATTTCAATAATCAATATCAAATATAAGAATAAATGGATCTGTAATGTTGTGAAAGGTTTAATAAACTTCAGGACACAAACATTAAATTCTAATGAATTTGAAATTTGAATAGTTTATCGACAACCACGGGAACAGCAGCCGGCGTTTTTTGCGAATGGGAATGATCTCTGTATCATTCTCAGGTTCAATCTCAGAGCCAGTGTCAGATGAAGAGAGACCAGGAGACATCACTTTCCGTATCCGAACCTGCGCCTCCATCAGACTGTGCCTCATCAAGGCTCTGGAGCCTCTGTGGCAGCAATCCTCCTCCTTCCTGACATTTCGTTCTATTCTGTTCTAAATCAGATCTTAATTTACTCTATTCTGCCTTTTCAATGTTGATTAATTCAAATGTATGTCTCCTATTCTTTCTATATGGTTTTAAGCGGGTAAGCTTTCTTTCCTCCTTGGCTCGAGCGTTATAAACAATAGTTGCTAGGCAACAGCGATACGCACCTTCAAGTAGTGGTGGGCGATATAACGATCTTATATCGTGAAGGATTTTAACTTGCTGACGATCTGCCAAAGCAGAGAGATCGTAGAACCGGACTAATGTGTTTATTCTATCATTCTGCAGTTTATGCTGCGACACAGACGCGTCTCCCTCCTCCCCCTCTTTTGCTCCGCAGCGGTGAAAATGAAACTTAAAAGTAAAGTCCGCAAAAACAACTCCATCTCTGTTATATGCAACTGTTTTGATATTTTTCCAAACCGACACGCTGTGCGCAACAGTTAACTTATCTGCATAGTGTGCACAGTTAAGATTAGTCTACATCTCAGATAGCGACACGGAGAGACATTAACAGTCAGAGACAGACAGGAAGGAGCTCAGACAGTCAGTGGAGCTATAACCCCGGTGTTTAAAATGTTGCTGTCTGTGTTTTCTGCTCTCTCTCAGTTTTTCAAAGTTACTATCATCCTCTCCACCCAAAACTCACCTGTTGTGATAACTGAATTTATAGGGATTAGGCTAAACAATGTTACAAAGCAACAGGCAGGTGAGAGTGAGTAACCTTGGTGACTGTCTGTCTGTCAATCAACAATGTCCCGCCCCCTCTATGAATCAAACTCTTGTCAATAAAACTTACTTTGATCATGTGTCGCAGAATGAAAACATTCTGTATTATGTTTGATTATATATAAACTAAACTAAAGTTAGTCCAATGATGTCATAAAAAACAACAAAGGCTGCAGAGCCTGAATGAAGCTCCAGCTGTAGGAACTCTGCAGGGCTAAAATAGAACAGAAACACAAGAACTTGAAGTCTACATATTTTTTAATGAATGCTTCACTGCGTGAAAATGTTCCTGATGAACATAAAAAGATGACACATAACTAAATCATAATTTCAAAGTGGTGAGGAAAACCTTCAAATTGTGCATAAATAGTGATCAAATTAAAGGGAAAGACATTTCTGTTGTTAAAGATGTTCTGTGTGAGAGACCTCCAGACCTCCTACAAAGATGTTTTTCAAATAGATTAAACTTGTCTGCGCAGTTTTTGTGCATTTAAAAACATTATACAGGGAAATAAGTTTGGTTGAACTGGTCAGCAACTTACAAATTTGTCAGTATGAAAAACATTGTGATAAAATCGTGATCTTGATTTTGCCAAAAAAAAATCGTGATATGATATTTTTCCCATATCGCCCACCTCTATCTTCAAGAGCGGGAAAAAGTAGCGAATACTGAAATGATACACTGGCTATAATGCATGCAGTCAATATGACTGCTATGGACTTTCAAGGTATAAATACTCAAAACTATTTTATGTTGTGTTTTTGATAAAATAACAATGCTAGAATAAAATATAGACACATTTAGGAAAAGTCATGGTCCTGTAGTTACATATGTTTTATTTTAAGTAAGTTATTACATTGCAAAATTAAAAAACAGTCAAAATGACTGCCTTGGTCTTTCTAGTGTTAACCAGGAAGCAGAGTGAGTCGAATAACAAAGGGTCATCTGAACAGCTGTGACAACACACACACTCCTGTCCACATGTGTCTCACCTGAGCATCACAACATAACATGTCCAAGGTTCATAACTCAATTGTTTAGCACCTCTTTAAAAACAAAAGATTACAGAAGATAATTAACAATGTTAAAGTAACGAAACATGTATTCATGTTGTACGCAGGTTACAAAGAGACCGACAGCTATCAGCTGAGGGGTCACATTTAAACTCTGGAGTCAGATAGATACAGATGAGCGAGTGAAACTATCTGAACACCTAGAGACCGTTTCAGACGTGCTGGAGCTTTGATTATTACACTGTATGATATTTCAGTCTCAGAGATGTGGATTCCAAGTTTCGGACGAGAAAGAGTAAAGTTTGTTCAAACCTGCTGATGCTGCTCCTCTCCTTTTTCTTATTCTCCTCCCTTATGTTTCTCCTGGTTTCCCCGCTCTTCTACTATTTTTCTCCTTTTTCATCTTCTGCTCTTAAGTCTGAGTTCATACCAGATGGAGGACGAATGGAAACAACAGACTGACTCAGAGAGAGAGAGAGAGAGAGAGAGAGAGAGAGAGAGAGAGGGGGGGGGGGGGGGGGGCGCCAACGTCTGTTTTCAATCTGCCTCTCTGGCGGTCACCCTCTCTCTCTTTCACAGGAAGTGAACTGAGTCCAACCATTGACTCCAACACACACAGTCATACACACAGACACAGACACACAGTTTAAAACTCACAAAAATACCATCTGTGTATGTGCGTGCGTGTGTGTGTGTGTGTGTACGCGCATGAGTGCGAGTGTTTTATCAGTTTTGTCCACTAGGTGTCAGCAGCAGAGTTCCTGTGTTTTTCCTGCTAAAGCCTCCAACAGTGATGACAGTCTTTTTATTGGTGAGACAGGTAATCACAGAAACAGGTGAGACAAGTCAGGTAATCACAGAAACAGGTGAGACAAGTCAGGTAATCACAGACACACGTGTTTAAGACTCATAGGACTGTCATGGTTCTTCAAAAAAACAAAGAGGAGGACCCATGTGCAGAAAACAAAACTCCTTATTTTAAACAAAAAGGCAGAAGGCAAACAAAAAACTTACTTTTTAACCAAGGGAGCCACAAGGAAAAAACTGGTAAGCACAGGAAGTAGACACTGGGAGACATTGGGAGACACATAGATCCAACAACTAACAATGATCTGACAACAAGAAGGGAGGAACACTGAGAATAAATAGACACGTGGGTAATCAGACACAGGTGAGACTAACGACACAGGTGAAGACAATGAGAGCAATCAGACTGGAGGGAAACACAGGCCCTTTTTCAAACCAAATCCTACACCTTCCACACTCGCAGCTGAATGAAGTCCCCTTCATCAAGGTGTAGGGTAGAAATACAGCGCCAGGCTTTGGGAAAAACTTTCCTCTCTCAGGTGAAAACAGGAAGTGTGTGTTACCATGGTTACTCAGCGGTATCTTGCAGGAACAGCTTATTTTAGTTGTAGCTAATGCATTCTGTAAAAATATTTACGTAGCCTAGATTCTTCTTTAGTAAGTTATATTAGTGCAGACTTATAACGCATCTATTAGATTGAGCCTACATTGTTTACTGTAAGTTATCATTTAAGTTAATTTATTGTAATTTTTAGAACAGGGTGTCCTAAATTAATGCAAAGACAAGGATAATATTGTTGAACATCAGAGCAGCAAAAAGTGTATTTTTTGTTGTTGAATTGAGATTTCACAAAGACATCAAAAGTAAAAAAATAAGAAATAAATATTAACAGTGAAAAGTTGTCTGCAACATGATTTAATATTCTTTTGTTTTTCCAACAGTCCCTGTAAATATGAAGCACTTTACAATAATTAAACATATTTGATCCTCAATGCAAAACACATTTGAAGTTGTTAACGTCTGTATGACGATATTAAATGCCTGTCTTAGTTTGAGCTGTGTTTGTAGGCACTTGAACTCACAGGTTGCTTCATCCATGACGACCGGACACAATGGGCGTTGCACGTGATCCGAAAGCATCAATGCACACTCGCTGGTGGAGGGTTTTATAACCTATTACCAATCCCTGCTAGTTGGTTTGGGATGGACTTAATATGGCGGACCCTCCGCGAGGACGTGCAAACAGAGGGGTAGTGGGTAGGGATAGGGTGTGGTGGCTGGTTTGAAAAAGACCCACAGAGGCAGGAATAAATTTAAGACTAGAAATATGACAAGAACTACAACATAAATCAGGGAACACTAATGACAGAGAACTTAGGAATGTAACAGCAATAATACACACTAGAACATAGAGGGACACAAGGATAGGAAATGACAAAATAACACATTGAACACTATCTAGGTAACATTAAGATAAAGAAACACACAAGGGAAACAAGTAACACCAGGGAAGACTAAGAATTAAAACATGAACAAAATCTAAACTCTGAAAGAAACAAAATACTTAACCAGATGAAATCCTGACAAGGACATGCTGACAGCTCGTAGCATTGAAACACCAGTAGCCAAGTTAGCTGGTGAAGCTGGGAGTCTTTATTCTGAGTGAGTCTGACACACGTCTTTAAAAACATGAGACTTAATTCTGTTCTTTAAACTTCAGTGATTTTTCTTCTTCATCAGGTTTTAAAATTAAGATTATTGTGACTGAGAGGACGACCACTCTGTAAAAACTCACTGACAGTTTAAATCAAGTTTGAAATCATTAAGTGACGCTGCAGAAAGAAATACAAACGGTTTCAATAAAGTTTGAAAAAAGGAAAAGAAACAAAAAGAACGGCCTCCAAATGATCTGAGGCCAAAGATCTCTTTCACACACACACACGCACACCTACATTCCTGCAGCAGGTTGGACCAGTGACATGTTGCTGAATGCACTGTAAAAACATTCACAGAAAATAACAGCTGAGACGAAGAGCTCAGGTATGCTGCACCTTACACACACACACACACACACAAACACATACAAGATGTGACTGATACGTTTTTTATAGTGCAGGTGGATCTGAGGCGTCAACATTTGAAACTGAAAGCTGGACTTCAAATGCAGGTGAACAGTCAGACGAGTGAACAGTCAGACGTGCGACAGTCAGACTGGTATTTGACAGGTACAGGTAAACAGACGTCGTGGTGAGCAGCAGGAGCCCGGTGTTGGTGGTTGAGGATTTTTTGTTACGGTAAGAACACCATGATTTTCTTTTTTGTTTTGTTGTTTCTTCATCTGAAGTTTAAGTTTAATTCTTTCAAATGTTATTAAGTTGTGTCTGTAGTTACACCTGTGTGTCTGTAGGGGCACCTGTCTGTCTGTAGTTCCACCTGTCCGTCTATTATAACACCTATCGTTCTGTAGTTACACCTGTCTGTGTGTAGTCTCACCTGTGTGTCTGTAGTGACACCTGTGTGTCTGTAGTTACACCTGTCTGTCTGTAACACCTGGCTGTCTGTAGATACACCTACCTCTAATTACACCTGTCTGTAGTTACACCTCTCTTTCTGTAAGTTCCACCTGTCTGTCTGTCTGTCTGTAGTTACACCTCTTTCTGTAGTTCCACCTGTCTGTCTGTCTGTCTGTCTGCCTGTCTGTAGTTGCACCTGTGTGAGTATCTGTAGTAACACCTGTCTATCTGTAACACCTGTCTGTCTGTCTGTCTGTCTGTCTGTCTGTCTGTAGCTGCACCTGTGTGAGTGTAGTTACACCTCTGTGTCTGTAGTAACACCTGTCTATCTGTAACACCGCTCTTTCTGTAGTTCCAACTGTCTGTCTGTCTGTCTGTCTGTCTGTAGTTCCATCTGTCTGTCTGTCTGTCTGTCTGTAGTTCCACCTGTCTGTATGTAGTCACACCTGTCAGTAGTTACAACTGTGTGTCTGTAGTTCTGCATGTTTGTGTGTAGTTACAACTGCCTTTCTATAGTAACACCTGTCTGTCTGAGTGTAGTTCCATCTGTGTGTCTGTAGCAACACCTGTCTCTCTGTAGTTACACCTGTGTGTCTAGAGTAACACCTGTCTGTCTGTCTGTCTGTAGTAACACCTGTCTGTCTGTAGTTATACCTGTCTGTCTGTAGTTCCACCTGTCTGTCTGTAGTAACACCTGTCTGTCTATAGTTACACCTGTCTGTCTGTAGTTACACCAGTCTGTCTGAGTGTAGTTACACCTGTCTGTCTGTAATTACACCTCTCTGTCTGAGTGTAGTTACACCTGTCTGTCTGTCTGTCTGTAGTTACACCTGTATGTCTATAGTTACACCTGAGTGAAGTTCCACCTGTCTGTCTGTAGTAATACCTTTCTGTCTGTAGTTACACCTGTCGGTCTATAGTTACACCTGTCTGTCTGTAGTTGCACCAGTCTGTCTGAGTGGAGTTCCATCTGTGTGTCTGTAGCAACACCTGTCTGTCTGTAGTTACACCTGTATGTATATAGTTACATCTGTCTGTCTGAGTGAAGTTCCACCTGTCTGTCTGTAGTAACACCTGTGTCTGTAGTAACACCTGTCTGTCTGTAGTTACTCCTGTCTGTCTGAGTGTAGTTACACCTGTCTGCCTGTAGTTACACCTGTCTGTCTGTAGTTACACCTGTCTGTCTGAGTGCAGTTACACCTGTCTGTCTGTAGTTACACCTGTCTGTAGGTACACCTGTCTGTCTGTCTGTTGTTACACCTGTGTGTTTGTAGTAACAAGTGTCTGTCTGTAGTTACACATGTCTGTCTGTAGTTACACCTGTCTGTCTGTAGTTACACCTGTCTGTCTGTCTCAGATGACTCCTCCTCCTGTCCCAAAGCCTCGGAATCGTTATATGAGGGACGGTCCAGGCTCTGCCTCCTCTCTGGACAGGTAAGTTCACCTGTTTATCCGCATAATTACATTAGACACCATTTTTTATCAAACTTTGTGTGCTATTTTTAGAAACCTGGTTGGTGAGAACGACCTGCTACCTGCATCCTCTAATGGAGATCACCTGAGCACAGGTATGCAGTGTGACTGTGGAGCCTCTTCTTTTTGAGTGAAGTCTGACACGTTGCTGCTGGTTTTAATCTGAACCGTTGAACCGGTTTGTTGTGGATGTTCTAAAACCAGTTTGTCCTGTGACTGCTGATGAGATCATTTTAGCTTAGTCCTGTTTCAATGTTGATGACATGAATTTGTGTTTTAGCCTCAGTCAATTTATTTTATAAGCACATAACAGCACCAGTCTTCAGAGCTCTACTCTTTTTATATTGACACACAATTTAGTTTCTTTGATTGTCAGGTGTGTCAGCTGATGTCTGATGATGATGTCACTGCATCCTTTCCCTCAGGTGATGAAGCCCCTCCTCTTCCTCCTCACAATGGCGTCGTCTTCCCGACTCTGGCAGGCATCACTGACATCATCGCCACCAACATCCCGTCATTGGCTGGATTTGCAAATTTCATCGGTGGCTCCTCCCCAGCCCCGACTGCCCCCCTGGCCCCGTCTGCCCCCCCCTCCATAGACACCATGGTGAACAGCATAGCCACCAACATACCTAGCTTAGCAGGAGCTGCTAGCACTGTTGCTAACCCAGCTGCTGTTACAATAAACTCCTCCTCCACCGACACACCTTTACCTGTACCTGATTCTAACAAAGGTGCTACTAACTTAGACAGCATTGTTAGCTCTTTAGCTAACATACCAAGTTTAGCAGGAATTGTTAGCAGTGTGGCAAATCCAGCTGACAGCTCCATGACGACCCAGGCCACGCCCTCAGCCCCACCCCCTTCACTGCAGAGTATTGCTGGAGACCCTAACACAGGTACAGTAACCAATCATTTAATTAATCAATCAATCAGCCAATCAGTGAACAGAGACGATCTCAGTGGAGCTTTGTTTAGAGAGTAAACCTGGTTAAAGCCAGTCTCACTAGTTTCTGATTTTTAAGGCGTTAGTCCCCACATGGCAAACTGTTCTGTAAACTCTGATTAGTCCTCAGGCCTCAGAGGTCTGTGATCCGTTTCTTTCTCAACTCAACTTCAACTTTATGAGGCCCCGTTAACACAATAACAATTAACTTAAAACAGAAACTTTTTTTAAAAGTTCCTCGCACTTTGGTAACAACCACCGTGCATGCCGATCCATGAAAAGGACTAAAAACGCTGTAGTACACTTGTGACTTCATTATGAAATAACACGGTGCTCACATACTGTTCCTTCTACAGAGTGGTGAGATGTAAAACATATAAAAATGGCTAACTGCCTTTTGGCTGTCCTATAAACAATCCTTTAGGCAATTTCAGGAGTAATCTAGCGGCAACAAGATCTACCACCCCCCCCCCCCTACATTTGAGAAAAATCAATGTTCAAAACCGTGCTCAGTCAGAGGGATCTGGACTTTAGATTAACTGAGACATTTTTGACGGGTCTCATCCAGGCAACCTTATCTGAAAAAAACGTTTCACCTGTCAGCTGTCCCAGCGCCGGGGACTCTCCCAAAGACCCAGTCCTTCTGGTCTTCCATGTTTAAAACATCATCTGCTGCTTTGAGTTCTTAAATTGTGTTTAGTTAACAATAAATGGACAGCTTCATGAAGCGCTCAGAGGGCGGCTCGTTAGGGGTCAATACTCCTAAACATCTCTGTACACACACACACTCAGAGAAAGAGAAAAATAAACAACAAGCAGAGGGTTCACACCCATTGGCTGAATAGGGCAACACACTAACAAACACTTTTTTCCTTATTGGCTGAGCGCTGTCTTCTGTCCTCATGTGTCCAGATGTTGGGGCTCTGTCACAGCTGGTGATATCGACTTTAGACCAGAACTCAGGAGTCACATTACCTACACTAGAGGGAACTGCTGAGCCCACAAATGGAGGTACAGGAGATTTTTTTCAAGGGCCGTATCCGAATTGTCAAGTACATACTCAATCTTTCAGTATGCAGTAGGCAGTAGGCAGTAGGTACTACCCGTGCTGCATACTGTTAGTACCTACTATTCAGTATGCACACACAGTAGGCAGATATTTGTTCCTACTTCTTCTGATTCATTCAGTAAGGAAGTGACGTCATTTACGTTTCCGAACCGGCCGCATCCACCCATTTTTTTTTGTTTAGCTTTATTCAAGAGGAGTAATGCTCATGTACAGTCAGGTAAACAAAAAACAATATCACAATGTAAATCAAGTAAAAGGCAGATTAAATAACTAAATAACATACAGTACATAAAGGAAAGTACAAATGAAAGACAGTAATATACAGAATATAAAGTAAAATAAACCAATGAAGACACATTTAAATAGTGAAATCATTATTTAAATAGAGGGAGAAAGGGTTTTATAATAATGCAGATATTTGTTATATTTTCTGTTGTTAATTAAAAGTAGGGATTTCAGTCGGGACTTTAACTCTAGATTAAAAATTTATTCAATTAATCCACGCTCGTTTGTTTTGATTTGGAGGCGGACGTGACGGGATGATTTACGTTTAATTTCGCACAGCATTGTGGGGGTAAAATACAATTCATTTCCTGAAAGCACGCCTCCGATCCATACTGCATAAAACCCGGAAGTTAGTATCCATACTGAAATGTTTAGTATACTGAGGTGGACCCAAACAATGCATACTGAATGACCATGAAAGTTCAGCATACTGAAACTCCATACTGAATAGTACGTACTGCCTACTGAACTGTGACTATTCGGAAAGGGCCAAGGTGTCCTCCTTGTGTTGACCCCACAGCCAGTCTGATTCCGCTCTGTTCTGGTTCCAGGTGTAAAGCAGAGTCCTTATCCAATCCGAGGAGAGGATCCGTATGTCACCGTTATGGCTAGTTGGGCGAGCCAGGATGAAATTGATACTGACTCTTCCAATGAGGAAGAAGATCCAGGAGTAAGCATCACTCACTCTGGTGCAGACGGTCCAACAGATGGAGATCCTGCTGCCATTACGGCTAACTCCAACAGGTATGAACAAAGTTACTGTTACAGTTACTGCTAACATGCTAATGTCCTCAGCAGCTAACTCTTCTTTAATTTCCATGTTTGGCAGCAAACCACTCAGTCCTTCAGGTTGTCTGATCCCCAACCGACCGGCCCCGCCTCCTCCCCTGCCTCAGTCAGGAAAGCCTCTGAAACAAAAGACCCCAAGGTACATTTTTAAACAAGCCCACAGCTCCATTTCTGTTCACTATAAGTCCAGACTTCTGGGGACTTTGTTATAAGGTCTCTGCAGTAAGGACCGAATGCTCTGAAGGTGACTTTGGGGCTCAGCCTGCAGCCCTGAACAGTTCTCTGGTTGAGTATTCACAGCACTCAGAAGAGTCTTTCTCACATCAGATGACTACTTATCTTTACAAGTCTTTAGACATCAGTGAAAACAGTCAACAACTAGCTCTATGAACCTTTAGTTCTTAGTGACTTTAAGTCCTCTTTCATCTCCATTCAGTAGAAACAAAGCTTTAGCTTGTTTTTCTTTGTCTTCCAGATCTCACAATATTTGACTTTACCAGTTCAGAACTACCTCTAAAAGGTCCATGTGATCACAATGTGCTGAACTTTGTGCAGTTAAAGACCTTGAGTGTGTTTGTCCTGCAGAGCCGCCACCATCAGAGTGTCCAGGAAGAAAGGAGGCAGCAAGGGCTCAACGCCACACAGTGCAGTGGTTCGATCAAGCTGGCTGGACGTCTGGAAGGGCTTCAGGTAAATACATCCAACACAGATGGATGGATGAGGGATAGATAGATAGCTATATAGATGGATGGATGGTTGGATGACGGATGGATGAACAGGCTTCATATTTTCTGTGTTTCTCGAACAGACACAATGTTTTATGGGCATCGTTGGATGGACAGCTGATGTCCCTGTGGAAAAAACGTACAGTAAGTCAGTGTATCGTACCTGTCTGTCTGCCGGCCAGTCTTTCTGCCTACGTGTCTGTCTGTCTGTCTGTCTGTCTGTCTGTCTCCCTGTCTGTCTGTCTATCTGTCTGTCTGTCTATCTGTCAGTCTGCCTGTCTGTCTCTCTGTCTGTGTATTGAGGGCTGTGTTTGTTTCGTTGACAGGACCGTTTCAGTGAGCTGCTCTTTCATGTCTCCAGTATCACCAACATAAAGAAACAGGATAAAGGCAGATTCTCGGTTTACTTCAGGAAGAAACATTATGACTTCATGGCTCATAGTGACGGTGAGATACATGCTGCTGGGGTACTGCACCCTCTACACTCTTTAATAAACACTCTACTGGCACACACAAACCTGTCAGGTATGTCAACTGGGTCAGGCAGGTTGTCCTACAGCACTGAGGACCAGCTGTGAAGCAGCTCTGCTCCATGTCCAGCTGTAGGAGAAATGAAACATGACGTTGCTTTTATGCTCCACTGTTGATGTTTTGCAGGATCAGGTTGGCATTTGATAATTCTTAATTCTTCTTCTGGTTTATTCAGAGGTTCATGAAGGCTGGGTCACATCTCTGCTGGCATCTCGAGGCCAGCCAAGTCCTGCCCCCCCCGAGCTCCATGGACAAATCACAATCAAGGACCCACGGAGCCGAGTTTATGCCGCACTATGGGGTCATGACCTCTGGATTTACCCAAACAAGGAGGGCTTCCAGCTGGGCATCGCCTCCTTCTCCATCCCTCTGAACGTGGCCACCGTGAAATCTACAGGAAAACACTCGTTTACCCTCATCACTCCGTACAAGAGCTTCAAGTAAGGGTCTGTCTGTCTGTCTGTCTGTCTGTCTGTCTGTCTGTCTGTCTGTCTGCCTGCCTGTCTGTCTGTCTGTCTGTCTGTCTGTCTGTCTGCCTGTCTGTCTGTCTGTCTGTCTGTCTGTCTGTCTGTCTGCCTGCCTGTCTGTCTGTCTGTCTGTCTGCCTGCCTGTCTGTCTGTCTGTCTATATAACAAATATTTAATACATTGTTTTTTTCTTCTTCCTGTTCTCTTTTTCTTTCCTCTCTGTGGTCGCCTCCTCTGTCTCTCTGGCCCCTCTTGATGTCTGCAGCCTGTCAGTTGATTCATCAAAGGACCTGGCTGCCTGGTTGGAGGGTCTATCCTCATCTATACGCAGTGCTCTTTCCTGCAGTCATGTGGCGCTGCGTCTTTGGGAAAACCCGGACAACAAAGTGTGCGGTGACTGTGGCTCAGCCAATCCTGAGTGGGCGTCAGTCAACCTTCTGCTGGTCGTCTGTCAAGCCTGTGCAGGTACGAGCTAACAGACCAATCAAAGAGGCTGAAAAAGAGCTGTTCAATTAAGACAACTGAGTGGAACACACCTGGTTTACAAACGTCAAGATGTTAACAGCTCCTGTTTTTAGGTCAGCATCGAGCTCTGAGCAGCAACCTGTCCAAGGTCCGCAGTCTGAAGATGGACAACAAGGTGTGGACTGAACCACTCATACAGGTGAGGATGAGAATGAACCACTCATACAGATGAGGGTGAGAATGAACCACTCATACAGATGAGGGTGAGAATGAACCACTCATACAGGTGAGGGGGGACTGAACCACTCATACAGGTGAGGGTGAGAATGAACCACTCATACAGATGAGGGTGAGAATGAACCACTCATACAGGTGAGGGGGGCAACACTCATACAGGTGAGGGTGGACTGAACCACTCATACAGGTGAGGGGGGCAACACTCATACAGATGAGGGTGAGAATGAACCACTCATACAGGTGAGGGTGGACTGAACCACTCATACAGGTGAGGGGGGCAACACTCATACAGATGAGGGTGAGAATGAACCACTCATACAGGTGAGGGGGCGAACACTCATACAGGTGAGGGGGGACTGAACCACTCATACAGGTGAGGGGGGGAAACACTCATACAGGCGAGGGTGGGATGACTCATATAGGTAAACACAATTCATGACCTTTAACCTTTTCTTCTCCCAGCTGTTTGTTGCCTACGGTAACAGGCTGGCCAATCAGGTGTGGGCTCCAGCGGTGCCGGCGTTGGAGCAGCTGCGTCCGGACTCGTCGGATGAGGAGAGGTCCAGGTTCATCCAGGATAAATACAGCAGGGGGCGCTACAAACGAGTCCACGCTCTGGCCTCATCACTCCCTCTAATGGATCAGGTGAGTCTTGTTACCCTTAGAGACTCGGACTCGTTAACTTTCACAGTTTTCATGTTAGAGTTCAATTTTCATAAGAGACTAAAACATTCATGTTCATGTTTAACACATCAAGAAACATCAGCTCATAATTGACTTCAATATTGTGTGTGTGTGTGTGTGTGTGTGTTGTGTGTGTGTGTGTGTGTGTGTGTGTGTGTGTGTTTCAGAGGCTACGTCAGGTGGTGTGTGGAGACGATGTAGAAGAAACGATGTCTCTGATCTGTTCTGGAGCAAAGGTTCATTTATGACTCTAATCTCATAGATCAATAACCATTAACTACACACACACACACACACACACACACACACACACACGCAAACACACACACACACACACACACAAATCTAAATGTTTTTGGAAGAGAAGTTATTATAGATAAACTATGTTGTTTATTTATGATGTATCCGTGTTTTACCTGAAGTTCAAACACGCCTCACCCACTGCAAAATAAGACAAAATTAAACGTGAAGTGAAACCTTTGCAGTCAGGGATCCCAACAGGTGTGAATCATACAGGTGTTGAACTGAGTCAAGTAGGGTTCCATGGCGCTAGATATTCGAATTTCTGATCGTATCAGACGCTGTTTGGACTTTTTAAATGCATGTAAACATCTTAGTCCGACCTACATTGAACCAAAATCGGCCCATAATGGACATCTCATAATCGGAAAAGAACTCGTACATAAGTCGTTCATAGTCGGCAAACTAACGGCGTGTAAACTCAGCCATCGTATCGTCATCGGATTTTGCGTTCTGCGCATGCTTGAGAATTTCTGCCGGGGCTTTCACCCAGAAGTGGAAGGAGACGACGTAATAAATAGTAGTGTTGTTGCCGGAAACGGCGTCCTTCTGCTGTTATCGCCGCAGCCAAAAGATCTGTTGTTCTTCTAAAATGCATTATTAGAATGTAAATAATGCACGAAATGTACGTAGCTGTAGCGTCGTCCATCTCCTCCTACGCCAGCTTTGTTTGAATGCCACCAGATAGTTTGTTGTTGCTGTGACGTATAGGTCAACCGGAAGTGGATCTATAACCACTAGTTGAAAGGGGTACAGCGCCACGTAGCGGAGTCAGCCATTCTCCGACCATTTATACGATTCTCTGATTGACATATATACTCAGACAAGTGACAGCTGTCCGTTTGAGTAGCAAATCGGTATATGACTTAATCGTATCAAGCTATCCCATGTAAACGCACAGTTTTACCGCTCTACAGGTGTGTCAATCAAACCCTCAAAACCCCTCCCCCATCCTGCTGGCTGAGAGAGCCAATCAGGCTCTGCAGACCGAGCTGCTACGCCTCAATGAGTACACAGGTAAGAAACAGGTAACACACACACAAGTAGCAGACAGCTAACACACACAGACAAGTAACACAAACACACCAATAGCACACACACAGGTAACACACACAAACATGTAACACACACACAAGTAGCAGACAGCTAACACACACAGACAAGTAACACAAACACACCAATAGCACACACACAGGTAACACACACAAACAGGTAACACACACACAAGTAGCAGACAGGTAACACCCACAAAAAAGTAACACACACACAAGTAGCAGACAGGTAACACACACAAACAGATAACACACAAAAAAGTAACAAACACACAAGTAGCAGACAGGTAACACACACAAACAAGTAACACACACTAATTGCAGACAGGTAATACACACACACAGGTAACACACACAAACAAGTAACACACACTAATTGCAGACAGGTAATACACACACACACACACACACACACACACACACACACACACACACACACACACAGGTAACACACAAACATACAAACACGTTACATAAAGGCAATAAGTAAACAGGAAACACACACACTTAAAGTAACAATAACACAACCCCTTTGGTTGGTCTTCTCACCTTGCTGTACTCACCTTATGTACAGGTTAACATTCTGGTGTTCTCCAGCACACTGTGACATCACTGGTGGGTGTGGTCACTCAGATTTACTGTTTGAAATACCTGGATGTCATTCTTTATTCAGGTGTGTTTATTCTGCTTTTTTTAAAGTGGTCCCGCCATACCTGCCACAGTCGACTAATAGGAGGCTTGACTACGCCCCCTCAGGTAGGGTGACTCACCTATATGAATTTTAATCACCACAAAGAGTTTATATTAGTAAATATTACTTAGTGTATAACTTGTATTGCCTCTCCGTGATTCTGAGTCATGGTAGCGACTGTACGGTGGCTCTCAGAGGACAAAAAAGTTCCAGATTCTCTTTGATGCTTTTATAAAACTGAGTATATGAAAGGTTTGTCCCTTATCCTAACGAGTTGTGTACACTTAAACTCTAATTCAAATTCATAGTGTTTGTGTGTGTGTGTGTGTGTGTGTGTGTGTGCTTGTGTGTGTGCGTGTGCATGTGTGTATATGCAGTTGAGGAAGAGGAGGAAGAGCTTCATGGTAAACTGGAAGAAGATCGTTTTCTGTTCTCGTCAGAAAACAACTCTGCAGCGTGCGACGTCCTCGACCTGCGAGAGGTTCTCTCTGTGTTCCTCAAAGAAGGGTAAATACTACCGATACTGAGATTAAGTTCTTTTCTAGTCTTTTGACAACTCGCACACATTCACACACTGATGGTAGAGGCTGCTGAGTAAAGAGTCCATCAGTATTAACTCATCCATTCATACACATTTACAACCCGCTGAAGCAGCAGTAGCAACTTTGGGTTAAGTGTCTTTTCTCAAACACACATCCCCGTGTGTCTGCGGGATCGAACCCCAGACCTTCTGTTGAGAGTAGACCAAGTCTACCACTGAACCACAGCCACACTTGATAGGCAGAGCATCAAGTCACTTTGATGCTCTGCCTGACAGATAGAGACAAACTGTACGAACTGCTTAACAGGTTCCTCTGGTGGAGACTCTGGGTCACTGCAGGCTCATATAAATATTAATCTTCCCTCAGGTAGTAAAAAATAATTAAAACCAGATGAGCAGTCAGAGCAGAAACACTGAACAGACAGAAGCTCTGAATAAAAAACCTTTGTGTTTCAGAGAGGATCATCAGTTTCAGATGGTGACGCTCAGCGATCAGCTGGTCTGTGCAGCTGACAACCAGGAGGCACTGCTGAGTCACCTGACCCACATCTTGAAGGTGAGCTCAAGTTTGTAAGCGATCGAGTTAACTGAAGTTTAAGTGGTCAAATTAACTGGAGTTTAAGTTTTCGAGTTAACTGAAGTTTAAGATTGAGTTAACTAATCACTTGTTATCAATATAACCTGAACTCTCTTTGTAACGTCAACAAAAGTTGACCATACAACCTGTCTTCATGTTTTCAGGTGATTCTCCCAGCAGGTGTCTCTTATGCAGAGGTGGGAGGGGCTTCTGCTGCCAGCAAAGTGTCTGTTGTTGAAGTGGGTGAAGACTCGTTTTTCTTTGATGCCTGGTTGTTACTGTGGGAGGAGGGAGTCAGCATTCATCCTGTCAATAAACACAAGCAGCAGACTGTGAGGATGGAACTGAGCACGCTCAGCAACCATGGTAACAACTTATTCCATGTTCACACCTCAGATACTCCAAGAGTTTATGAAAACATTGCGTTTTGTGTTATAATTGTGTCTCATCTTCTACTTCAATTTCAGACTCTAATAAAGCAGTACGTTAACTAACTAATTATTATTATTAAATATTATTATTTTATATTATTATTTTTTTATATTATAAATATTCACATTAACAGTTGGAAAGAGAGGACATGTGTTTATTAAAACCTGAAGAAGAAGAGTTTATTATCAGTTTTAAAAAGTCTTTGATCACATCTGTGTTTTCTCTTACAGAGATGGATCCATCTGAAAACATTATCACCTTAGCAACCACAGACAGGTGTGTAACAGACACACACACAGATTTTCCGATTTCGTCTCCAGCACAGCTTCGTAACAAAGCTCTGCTGTCATTACTTCTCTGTTACACATTAAATCCTCCACAACGTGAAATCAGTGTCACAGTGAGGATCTGTGTTGTTAACAAAGAGAGAGAGGCTCGGGGTGTAAAAACACAGGGCAAGCTTCACATACACATAAACTCAGAGCTGTCAGGGCAGAACAGCGCTGTGTGTGTGCGTGTGCGTGTGCGTGTGCGTGTGTGTGTGTGTGTGTGTGTGTGTGTGTCCCTCTTATGGAGGATCAGAGCTAATCAGACCTATTCGGTTTTTTGAACCAGGCTGTAAACATGTTAATCTCTGCTGTAAAAAACAGGCTTTTTTGAATGGGTGTGTATGTGACTTCCTGTGCTTCTGCAGCCAGCCTCTAGTGGACACTCGAGGAACTGCAGGATTTTACACTTCAGCACTGGCTTCATTTTTAAACACGAAGTTGCTGATTGGTAAAGAGGCTACAGAGACAAATGTTACTGTTACTGGTGAATGAGTTCATATAAACTGTTGTTTTATATGGACTCCAAAACATGAAGTGATTCCTGTATGGTGATCGGTCGAGCTAAGCACAGGTATATGTGACATCATAGGTTGGTTGTTGTTGTTCTCAGCAGGAGTGTGTCAGTGCGTTTTGAGGAGCAGCACAGCTGTCAGTCCTGGTTTGACCACTTGCAGAGAGCTCTGACCAATCAGAGAGCAGCTCCACAGCATCCTACAGCCAATCACAGCTCAGCCCCTCCCTCTCTGTACCCAGTGATGGACGTGGGCTGCAGGGGGTCAGTCCCCGCCGCCATCGAACGCTGCATCTCCCATGTCACTGCTCATGGTCAGTGTGTGCTCTAACATCTACACAACTACACAAAAACAATACACAACTCACCTTGTGTGTGTGTTTGTGTGTGTGTGTGTGTGTGTGTGTGTGTGTGTGTGTGTGTGCGTGTGTGTGTGTGTGTCAGGTCTGAAGGTGGAGGGCATTTACCGGCGCTGTGGCATCGCCTCCAAAGTCATCAAGTTAATGGAGGCTCTTATGACATCACCTAGCTCCGCCCCTCTGGAGAGTGATGAGCAAGGTGTGTTAGACGCTGGCTCCGCCCTCAAACAATATGTCCGCCAGCAGCAGAGTCTAATCCCTGACAAAGAGCTACAACAGTGGCAGCATGCTGCAGGTTAGTACTAATAATTAAAGAGACCGGCTTAGTACATATACATAAAGTAGTACTGTAGTATTAACAGGTAGTAGAGCTGTAGTATTAACAGGTAGTAGTGCTGTAGTATTAACAGGTAGTAGTGCTGTAGTATTAACAGGTAGTAGTGCTGTAGTATTAACAGGTAGTAGAGCTGTAGTATTAACAGGTAGTATTAACAGGTAGTAGTGCTGTAGTATTAACAGGTAGTAGAGCTGTAGTATTAACAGGTAGTATTAACAGGTAGTAGTGCTGTAGTATTAACAGGTAGTAGTGCTGTAGTATTAACAGGTAGTAGTGCTGTAGTATTAACAGGTAGTAGTGCTGTAGTATTAACAGGTAGTAGTGCTGTAGTATTAACAGGTAGTATTAACAGGTAGTAGAGCTGTAGTATTAACAGGTAGTAGAGCTGTAGTATTAACAGGTAGTAGTGCTGTAGTATTAACAGGTAGTAGTGCTGTAGTATTAACAGGTAGTAGTAGTATTAACAGGTAGTAGTGCTGTAGTATTAACAGGTAGTAGAGCTGTAGTATTAACAGGTAGTAGTGCTGTAGTATTAACAGGTAGTAGTGCTGTAGTATTAACAGGTAGTAGAGCTGTAGTATTAACAGGTAGTAGTGCTGTAGTATTAACAGGTAGTAGTGCTATAGTATTAACAGGTAGTAGTGCTGTAGTATTAACAGGTAGTAGAGCTGTAGTATTAACAGGTAGTAGTGCTGTAGTATTAACAGGTAGTAGTGCTGTAGTTTTACTGACAGTTCTTCTCTCTCAGCTGTTTCAGATGAACTCTCCAGGTTTTCAGCCTACAGACGGTTGCTACAGCACCTTCCTGATGACAACCGAGCAACACTGAACGCACTTTTTGGACACTTTTACATGTAACGCACACACACACACACACACACACACACACACACACACACACACACACACACACACACACACACACACACACACACACTTTTATTTCTTTATCTTTCTTTATCTTTATCTTAGGGTTGTGAAACTATGAATTATTTAATCACAATTTAACACATTCAGTGCTTTTATTTTGTAATTCCTTAAGATAGTTTTGTCCTTCCTGTTTGGCTAAAACCCTGATTTTATTTTGATATAAAGTAAGGAGGACTTTCTACGGTGCTCCTAAAGGGACATAATAGCATGAGGTTATTCGTGATTAAGTATACTGGCAGCTATATCCTGTACTCGTGTTAAAATTGTATAATATCTAATTGTCCTCACAGAGTGATAAAGACCTGTCGTGTGTTCTTGTCCTCCTCAGGGTCCAGGTGTTCTCTCAGGTAAACAAGATGTCTGCTCACAACCTGGCTGTGGTTCTGGTCCCCACTCTGTTTCAGACCATGAACCAGGACCTTCTCCGTCTGACCCGAGAGTTCATCATCCACCACACACTCCTCTTCCTGGTCAGTCACATGTGAAGTTATTAACACATAAATAATAATCATAGATTGGCTTTAGAGAGCGACCCTAGGACGCTTCGCATGGTGGAGGGAGAAGACAAAGATCAGAAACACCTGAGACAGGTAGCAGCTGATGTAAAGCAATGGAGAGCCAGAGTTCAGGGAGGTGATAGGCTGTGGAGAACAGATGGTGTTTTAGGAGTTATGTGTTATATCAACTGACAACATCAGTGTCATGATGATGAATGAAAGACATGTTATGAATATGTCGTAAACAACTGTATTACTATAATACTATTAATGTATGACGTAGTTTTATTCATACCATAACATGTGCATATTACATGTGATGGTATGTTGTAGTAATGGTGTTATAATGGTGTAATAATGGTGTTATAAAGGTGTAATAATGGTGTTATAATGGTGTAATAATGGTGTTATAAAGGTGTAATAATGGTGTTATAATGGTGTAATAATGGAGTTATAAAGGTGTTATAAAGGTGTAATACTGATTAATAATGTTGTTATAATGGTGTAGTAGTAGTCTAACCCTAACGTCAGCATGCTGCTATCCATAACAACACGAAGAACGATCAATATTTCCCCTGAAAGTTTTTGAATGCTTTAATAATGAAATATAAATATCTGTGCAGACACCCGGGGGAGGGCAGAGACAGGAGGAGGAGGAGGAGGAGGAGGAGGAACAGATCACGGCTTTATAAAGAAAAGAGGAGGAGCAGATCGCGGCTATATAAAGAAAAGAGGAGGAGCAGATCGCAGCTTTATTAAGAAAAGAGGAGGAGAAGATCGCGGCTTTATAAAGAAAAGAGGAGGAGGAGGAGGGGTTTTTTAGTTCTTTTTTTATGAATGGGGTATCAGTTAAACTCATGATTGAACTTAAATCTATACATATAGCAGTGTAGTGCTAATATTATTAAACGTTTAAAGAATAATTTTTCTTAATAATAATAAACTTTTAATTAAAGCTCTGAACTGTAAATCACTGTGTTGTGTTCTCTCACAGTGCCCCCTACAGCCCACTGTATCAACCTGCTGGCGTTTTATCTGAGTTCAATTATTTAAAGTGAGAAAACAACAAAACTCTGTATTCATCCAATCAATGAAGTCTGTCATCGACTCAATAGAAAGTTTTATTTTCATATACACCTGCGGGTGCTGAGAGGGACAAACAAGTTGAACCATCTCCAGGGAACCATCAAAGTATTTGTTGAACAGGAGAGATTTATTTGTCTTTGTATTTCCGACCACTGATTCAGTCCTTACAGCTCTGTCAATAAAACTTTATTAGTCATGAACAAACTGACGATGATCTACGTTTATGATTCATGTAAACACATTTACACATCATACAGGTGAGCCTCTGTGTCCAGGTTACCATGAGGTTAGCTCTGATTGATCGTCTTCACACGTAGATTTTCTTCATCCACAGACTTCTGCCCTGTGATTTGTGTTTCCATGGAAACCACAGGATAACAACTTACTGTTGAGAGGAGAACGAGTTAGCATGTTAGCATCTTTTAGCGTGTGTGTTTGTGTGTATGTGTGTTACCATAATGAGACTCCTCCTCTTTATCCTGGGTATCCTCCACAGTCTTCGTCTTGTTGCCATGGTGACCATGCATCACTATATACACATTTTCCTGCAAAGGACCTGCACCAGGAGAGCAGATTATAATTCATTCATTAGATCATAATTTAATATAAATAATCAAATTAAAATGATCATGTCACAAATCAGGCTGTCTCTGATTGGCTGATGTACCTGCTGAAGTCATTCTCTGGCGGCTCCTCCTCCTGAGCATGATGATGACGATGAAGACGGCGATAAAGACGAGTAGGAGGAACATGAACACACCCACCAACACACTGCTGCCCCCTACAGACAGACAGTGCTGTTACTGTAAATATTTTTTTACATGCTTATAAACATTGTATAGCTAATTATATTACATACCGTGTTTATCGAGCCCCGCCTCCTCCACCTCCAGCAGGAAGGTTTCATTCAGTTGTCTCTGCCCACTGGCATCAAACACTTCCATGCTGTAGCGTCCTGCATCCTGACTCTGTACATGTGAGAACAACAGTGAGCCGTCTCTCTGCTGTTTGCAGCGATTGTGGTGACACTGCTCCACATTCCTACTCCGTGACATCACCAGATGCAGGTGAGTCCACCTGACGTCCCACCCAGGCTGCAGCCGTGCCTCCTTCAGCCGCTGTGAGGTCATCAGGACACGGTCCCCGCTACGTGCAGTGACGAGCTCTACAGCTGGAGTCAAGCACACAAACATCAGCTGACAGGTGTCTACACTCGTTAAAAGTCTCTACACTCGTTGCAGGTATTTGGTTGGTTAAGTTGAGTGGTTGGTAAATTGGTTGTTTGATTGGTTCATTGGTCAAGTGGTTGTTTGGTCTGTTGGTCAGTCGGCCAGTCGGTCAGTCGGTCAGTCGGTTGATTGTTGGTTGGTCCATTGGTCCATTGGTCTGTTGATTTCTTGGTTGATATCGATTGGTTGGTTCATTGGTTGGTTGTTTGGTTGGTTCGTCTTTGGTTCATTGACCTCAATGATTATTTTCTTATCAAACCTCATGGGAAGCCTCAAACTTCACCTGTTTAACAAGGATCTGATAAGGAGGACGCACTCTCATCTGCAGACTGATTCTCATTTCCTACTACAACACACACACACACACGATCTGTGGTTGACAGATATGAAGACTGACCGTCACTCTTCATCATCATCGTCATCAGCAACACCAGAAACAGCATATCCACTGGCTGTAGTCCACTCTGTCTGCGACTGCTGGCTCCACCCCCTCAGCTGTCAATCACTGTGAGAGAGGAAACGCATTCTCTCAGTGGTCCAAGTGTGTGTGTGTGTGTGTGTGTGTGTGTGTGTGTGTGTGTGTGTGTGTGTGTGTGTGTGTGTGTGTGTGTGTGTGTGTGTGTGTATGTGTGTGTGTGTGTATGTATGTGTGTGTGTTGACAGATGTAAATGTTTCTTTCGTAAATCTCAATAAAGTATTCTGTTTGAATGAAACTTTAATTATTGTTTAATCGGACAACACAAACACACACACACACGCACGCACACTCACACACACAAACGCACACACATGCACACACACATTAAATACACATAATATATCTTAAATACATACACACACATACAGTAAGTCCATACAAACAACCACACGGATATAAAAAGAAACAGAATATGGAACAGGTAGAGAGCTGACCTGAGTGTGTGACGGACCTCTTCTTCGAGTATCATCAAATTAGGAAGTGAAAGATTGAGAAACAAAGTGTAAGTGACAGAGACAAACTGACCAATCAGAGAGAAGCAGGAAATTAACCCCCCCACTCCCACACAGAAAGTGTGGTCAAAACAGACAGCTAAATGAGAGTTTCCTTTGATGTTGAGGTCTCTTAGAAATTCAGAAAACAAGAGCAGATAGATATCTTTTATCTCCTTCTCCTTTACAGATGTACCCTAACCCTAACCCTCTCACAGGGATACTAAAGACAAACTGTTACCTTGATAGCACTGAACCTGGAGAACTCCCAATGTTTAAGCTCCTTTTTCTCACCTTTATATTCCAGCGACCCCTTGGCCCAAACTGTGAGCTGTCTGAAAACTGCTTCAGTTCAGATCGTGAACATTTAGACATGACGTTAAATAAGAGCCATATTAGCATGAAAACATGAATCATGGCACACAAGAACAAAACCCTCTCATGTTAATGACCATCATGAGCCGGGGATGAACTCTGTGATGACAGATCAGAGGTCTGCAGATGGACGTCAGTCTGTTTCTTTATTCTTCAGAAGAGACAAATTTTAAATACAAACACTTTCATTTCAAATATTCTTAAAATGCAGACGTCGGGCTGTGATGGCCTTTAATGAGTCGACTAAACTAACGTATGCCTCTGTTTAAAGTAACCACCCCCCGCCTCTACAATTTTATTTTATTTCATCCAAACAAATAAAGTTAAGAAAAACAAACAAACATAAAATCTCAAATTTTGAATGCAAAGGAGCAGAAAGAAGACTAATCTTATAATATCTGCCCCTCTTTCACAAAGCATTAATTAAAACAAAATGATTCTATTTAAAGTTGTTGGATGGTTTGATCTCATGCAATTCTGAAAAGGACAAACACTGTTTCTGAAGATGAATCCTAAATGTGATTTAACTGATGAGACTTATTTGAAATATTAGAATTTATTCAGCCTGTCCTCAAACCGTAAACACATAACAATGTTTGTCTTTAATGAAATCAGTTTTCATCCTGTCGGAGGCTCAGGTTGTCACATCCTGACCCGTGTGTTCCTGTCTTCATCCTTTTTAAAGACTGTATACAAACACACAGATGGACATCTGTATCTTCTTTATCCTTCTCACATTACAAAAACATTACGTATAAAAACCTCAAAGAGTACATTGATTATTGACATTATAAGGTTTCTACTTTTAGGCAGCTCATGACGATGATATCAAACATTCAAATTTGGTTATTGGACACAAACAATCTCCAGATATGATGTTTGCTGTCTTCATGTTGGTGTTGTATGTTCCTGGGGATCCTTTAAACTGTTACACTCTGTGATTGACAGGTCTCCTGTACAGGTGTAACCACGCCTCTCACCCAATGACAGCTGTGATTGGCTCCAGCTGGATGAGCTCAGTGTGACTCAGGATGTCTGTTTACAGCAGCTTGAGGCTATCAGGCGTCAGAGTCATGAAAAGTTTCTACTGATGAGGTTGGAAGATCTTTAAAAAACACATCTGAGGATGTTGAACCAATCAGGAGATGACTTTCAGTTTCCTGTGAAACTCACTTATGTCCTCTAAGGTGTCAGAATCCACAGTTTGCTCCACAACATGACGTGTTGAGGCGTTCAGAGAGTCATAATATCGTTTGATTTCCTTCACTTCCTCCTGCCATCGTCTCTTTGTGGCTGGGTTCTCCTCCTGGGCCTCTCTCAGCTTCTCCTCATACTTTACCTCTATAGCTTTGATCTCCTTCTCCAGCTTATCCCTGTAGAACTCTCTAAGCTCCACCTCCTTCTTATTCAGCAGCTCCATCACCTCCAGGTAGGTGGGGTTGGAGTAACACTTCCCTCCGTTGACACACACCATCTTCTCCACCTTCTCCAGCAGATCAAGGACCTGTCCACGATCGTTAGCCCTGTGGTTGTTGAAGACGTGGTATCTGTTTCCCGCCTTCTTCAGGACCTCCAGCAGCTCAGGCCCCGCCCCTTCCAGCTGTCGCTCGACGTCTGCTGTGTCCCCTTCGTCCTGGGTAAAGAGCATGATGGTGTACTTCCAGGCTTGCTCCCCAAAGATCTCCTCCACCTGCACGACCGCGTCTCTGTCTTCGTCGGTGAATGGCCCCACCTTGATGACCAGTAGGATGGCGTGGGGCCCCGGGGCCGACATGTTGATACATTTAGAGATCTCTCGCTTCACCATGTGTTCAGGTAACGAGGTGTCGAAGAGGCCGGGGGTGTCGACCACGGTCAGTTCTCTGCTGAACAGCTGACCAGTGTGTTTACAGCACTGTCTGCTCACTGAGGACACACACACACACAAACACAAACACAACCACATACACACACACACGCAGATACACACAAACACACAAAGACAGTATCATTGAGTCACGGTGGTCGAGTCTAATTCAACAGGTTTCATCTGGATTCAATCTACGACAGCTCCCTGGGCCCCACCGTTCAAAGTTTAAAGTTCAAAGTCGTCATGTTTCAAATTTTGATCATTTAGATTTAAAAATCTGTAGAGGTCGGCACAGTTCACATAAAAGGTAACCTCAGACGTTTGTGTTGATATCAGTTCATTCTGTTAACAATCATCTGTCATAGAAACATCCAGATCCGTGTTTCTGACACTACAATAAGAATTAAAACTGCAAGGAAGGTGAAGGACCCTCGCACCCCTGTGCATTTCAGGTGTGTCGCGACCGCGGGGATCGCAGCAGCAGCAGGTTTGGCCAAGCAGCGAGCCATGCAGATGGATTTGTGTAAAAGTCGTAGCACTGGCCAGTTCAGACAGCCAACGCTACGAGGATCACAGAATATGCAGAGCAGTTCAGGCCGGCACTGTCATGATGCTGTAGCCAAGTTTTACAACCTCTCTTTCTGCAGGACTCAGGGATGTGGATTAACATCGTGGTTAATTTAGAAACAACTGATCAATGATTTAAGTCTCCCTCTCAGACAGGCTCTGGAGGACAGGATATTATAAATTTTTACAACACCTGGAGTAAACAACCAAGCAGAAACAGAACACTCTGCTATCTACGAATTGACCCCAAAGACATGAACTGTGACCGAAACCAGTCTCTGCAAAGTCATTAAAATTGACCATCTGTTTTAAGGACTGCTGAAGAGCTGATTAAACCACAGCGTTCAATTCTGCATCAAATGAACATTTATGTCTTTCTTCATCTAGATATTTGTAATTGTCACATTGAATGTATTATAATCATCTTTTTAAACTCACAGTAAGACTGCTGGTTGCTGGTGTTGGGAGATTAAGTCGTGAGTCGTGTCTATTCAGAGCCCTCCTTTAAATCCAAATAGAATCCCAAAATTTGTTTATCAACTTTTCCCTTTTTTGATCATTTGCTGATTAAGTCATTCAAACAATACCGCGTCTTATCTCATTACTAAATATATAATGTCACCATACGTTATAATTGTATTACACAGCTTGTGTGACCACAGCGAAGGATCAAAAAGGAAGTGGCTGTAACTCTCTTATACTTTGTCTGATCTGCTTCAACTTTCACACGACCAGGGTTGGCCTCTAAACACATTCACATCAGAGTCTTTCTTCTAATATCACAGGTATCATGACAGTGTCAGCTGAACCGCTTTAAATATTAAGTGATATTCATTGCATAACCTATTTGAACTTCAAGTTCAAGTTCAAGTCATTATTAGCCATTTCAACAATACAGTTGAAAGGAATTTGTCTTGGTGTGCTCACATATACTTGCCAGTGCTACGACTTTTACACAAATCAACCTGCTGGCCTGCTCCTTGGCCCCATCTCACTGCCGCTGCGTTCCCTGCAGTCGTGACACACCCTGACATGCATGCTTACGGTTTTAATAATGGATGAAGCCTGAGTACACAACACATCTGTTCCTGCAGGAGGCGCTGGAGTCCCACCAATGGCAGTCTCCATGCTGGAAATGCTGTCTCAGCCTAACTTTCAGTCAACCTAACTGTCACGGTTGTGGAAAAACAAGGGATGTGGACCCAAGTCAATCAGTCAATCAGGTCAGCTACATGCCTTATTGTGAATAACTCTTATCCTTCATCAGGGTTTTACACTTCCAAATTTACTTCATTTTTTAAACCGTCACACTTGTGTTATAAAAACAACAGAATCATCTTCTTTGTATAAATTCAGTAGATGTGAGTTCTTAAGAGGCCATGGGGTCTCAGAAGACTCTACACTAGACACATGTCTGTGTTCATATGTCCCCACAGGAAGTACCTTCATGTAGGTCAAGCAGCTTTTCACAATAAAGCACCCGGGAGAGCCGAGACTGGCATTTTGTCTCATTAATCGATAATATTTCTCGCATTGAAAGTGAATTTAAAAAAAAAAAACAGTAATTAACGAGAATAATTAACGATTAACAGATGTTTTCAGCTTTGAACAGTCAGGATTCCCCTGATCCCGCCAGAGGGCAGGATGCAGACCGGATCACAGGAACTAAATGTGATTAAAAACATTAACATTAGTGTGAAACAGGAAACGGCTCACCTGTCCCTTCCTGTGACTTCACTCACCTGAGGACTGACTGACAGCTGCAGGGAAGGCATCTCGCCCCAGTATAGTGTTTCCACTGGAGCTCTTCCCTGCTCCAGTTTTCCCAACAAGGACCAGTCTGAAATCTGAAACAGAACACACAACATGACAGGTGAGCAGCAGCACAGGTGAGCTTCAGGTGAGCTTCAGTTTGTATGAGAAAGAGATAATGTCTGCTACCTGTCCTGTCTCTCTCTAACTGTCTGTCTCTACCTGTCTGTCTATGCCTGTCTGTCTCTACCTGTCTGTCTATGCCTGTCTGTCTCTACCTGTCTGTCTCTACCTGTCTGTCTCTATCTGTCTGTCTCTATCTGTCCTTCTCTACCTGTCTGTCTCTATCTGTCTGTCTCTATCTGTCCTTCTCTACCTGTCTGTCTCTATCTGTCTGTCTCTATCTGCCTGTCTCTACCTGTCTGTCTATACCTGTCTGTCTATACCTGTCTGTCTCTACCTGTCTGTCTATACCTGTCCTTCTCTACCTGTCTGTCTATACCTGTCTTTCTCTATCTGTCCTTCTCTACCTGTCTGTCTATACCTGTCTGTCTATACCTTTCTGTCTCTATCTGTCCTTCTCTACCTGTCTGTCTCTATCTGTCCTTCTCTACCTGTCTGTCTATACCTGTCTGTCTCTATCTGTCCTTCTCTACCTGTCTGTCTATACCTTTCTGTCTCTATCTGTCCTTCTCTACCTGTCTGTCTATACCTGTCTGTCTCTACTGGTCCTTCTCTACCTGTCTGTCTATACCTGTCTGTCTCTATCTGTCCTTCTCTACCTGTCTGTCAATACCTGTCTGGTACCTGTCTATCTGATTGGGTAAGATATGCTAACCAGTCTTGTACATGTGTAGTGTGTCTATGAATAAAGAGACAGAGATAATACTGCGTCTCCTCGGCTGTTTAACCTGCTCAGGTAGCCTGGTCTGCTGGTTACCTGTATTAGACGAGCAGCTGTCCTGTACTACAGGTAGAGACAGACAGACAGTTAGGGACAGACAGGTAGAGACAGACAGGTAGGGACAACAAAGAGGTCTGATTGTCAACATACAAGGCAGACAACCGCTTAGGGCTCCAGGCCATTAGGGGGCCCCAGAGGGCTGACACACTTCAAACCACAACAGTGACGCAAAATGTGCAAAGTTTGCAATGACAGTAGGAATCCTCCCTAAGGGGCCCCCATCTGACAGCACTGCTCAGCATCACATGCATTATAACTGAAAACCAGAGCTGTCAATGACAGGGTGCATTGGGATTGTCCAGATACACCCAAAGTCTCCAAAGGAAAATGAAGGTTTTTAACTTCAGCTGTCAAACACTTACATTTTCTAAACCCTCTAAATCACAGAATTACAAAAGTGAATCGTTACTATTCACATTTTTAATCAAATGTTTGAAATTCTGTTATTTCTCATTTAAAAATAAAAACGGTTCGGCTTTTATATTTTGAACGTTTGTACTGTCTTAAGCTAAGAGTACTTCACTTGCTGTTTGAAGGCTTTTCTACGGTGTGTCTAAAGGGACAAAATAACAAGAGATTAATCGTGATTAAAAAACATTCATGCATTAAAGTCAGTCTTAATCGCATCACGACTAATGCGTCAACACTGACATATTAACGTTTTCTAAATAATACCTGTAACGGAACCAGATGCAGAACAAACTGACAGAACTCCCCCCTTTTTTAGTTAACCCCTGGACCAAAGAACTGCTAGGAGCTCAACAACATCTTGTGGTTTAACACTGACCAGGAACCAGGACATCTCCAATGACTTGCTTGTGTTTACGTTAGACTACTTATGATATCATCTTTTGGGTTTCCTTTTTCCACGTTTTCGCCGCACTTAAACATCACGTGTCATTTTTCATTCATTCTTTTTTGTAAACAACGCATTTTTATCTGACTAGAGATTACTTGAATTGGCCCACAAGTTTTATCTCAAGTAATTTTCGCAAGACTTTTAATTCTTCTGATCTACTCAGAGCCACTGAGACAGACGACCTGGCTTCAGCTGCTGATCATCAACTTTACACTGCTGTGTGACGTCACTTCTACCTGACTGTTGTGAGACAGTCCTTTGGCTGGTAGAAGTTCTGGTGGACCAGAAAAGTGATCCATCAGTATCTTAAACTGTCATGTGAGAAAAAGAAAACCGAGAAAACTTCCCCTGAAAAATACATTAAATCCACTGAAACTAAAAACAAAATGAAAGCAGACAGAAGTGAAAGCATGCAGGCTGCAGAGATATGATCTGTACCTTTAACTGTGTTTATTGACATTTATTTTTAGGTTTCATATCAAATCAAAGTTTGATATGAGACAGACAGAGAGACAGACAGACAGGCACGTACCTACCTGGGAGCAGGGCTGAGAGGGTTTGTGAGTTCACAGAAGTCAAATCAGCACGCACTGTCTGTGTATTTCCCCTAAATTCTGACTGAATAAACGATATCAAGACACCCCTATTCACCTAAGCCACTTATTTCTAAAAGCCTTCAAAATAAAATCTTCCGATTCTTTGTTTCTTTTTTATCTATGTTGTAATGAGCATGTTTGTGCCCTTACATCTTAATTTCATTCCATCTCTTTGTTTTTTAATCCCTCATGGAACACCTTTGTTCTGTAGTTTCTCTTTTAATGATCCATTTTCCTTCCAATGGACTTTTATTTTGAAGACCATTTATAGCTCTTGTTTGAGTGGAATGTTTCCTGTTGGTTTCTTAGAGGTTAGGAGTTGTTTAAAAATCAGACAGAGGGAAGAGCAGCTGAGATGGCGGAGAGTAAAGCCTGCAGTAAGTCCGAGATAACTCTCTCATTGATATGAACACAGAGTGCACTTCCTGTCTCACTAGTTTAAAGTGTGCCATCTTAAAGTGTTTGATGAGCTTTGATTTTGTTTGTTTTATTCTCTGACTTTCACTTTCACTTACTAACAAAATGGCGCTGGGCCGTTTCACTGAAGTTTGGTGTAAAGGATCAAGGTTTGATATCAGGGATTTAAATTAAAATATAATAATATTTATATTCACATTTAGATTTATAGAAAAATATCTGAACTGTAATCATAAACAAATAAAAGTATTTACAATAAAGTTAAACACACCTGGATGTTTCACTGACCTTTGACCTTTTGTTTAATGTCTCTCTGCAGCTCTTCAGAGGAGGAGAAAAAGTATGGACGAACCTCCAAGTATGAAACCTTCTTTGAATCACGCAATAAACTAATACTGATCTTTATTAAAGTGTGACGTGGTAAAGTTGTGAGTGTGTTTGTTAGAGGGCAGAGGCTGTGACAGCGAGGTTTCTCTAATATCACATTTATCCTAATAAACAGATTGAACGTGTTAGTCTCTAAAGTCTAGGGATTCTAGAGTCTTGCAGGTGTCCACACGGGCCGTCGAACCAGCGTTCACCACCTTTTGTGAGGAAAGGGGGAAGTGGGATACAGGTGTGGACCCAGGGGTCTCTTAAAGTTATCCAAGAAGGTTAACCACAAAAATCGCAAGCGATAGATTGGAGAGGGGGGAGGGAACAAAGAAATCGTAAAGAGCCAAAACACCCTTCTAAACTAAATAATGCACTGAAAATGATGAACTAAACCCCTGCTGACTCAAAACTAAGAAGTCCAGCTTGCGTCAAGACCCAAACACCGTGTTTTTATTAATACATATAAGAACATTACACAAAGTTCTGAAGTTCATTGGTATATTGCGTAATTCATTTATTAAGATATTATATTCTAATTATTCCTCAGGGCACCACTTCCTGTTTAAGGAAGAAATTAACTTTAACTGTATAAGTTGATTAATTATTCAGTCTCATATCAGAATGTCAGTAAGTTCTCTTGGATCACTTCAATCATTAAATAAACACTGACAAAGTTCTAAATGATTACGTGTGACTTTATTACAGGAATCGTGAACAATAATGCAGATTAATAAAATAAATATCAAAGATTATAATTTGTATGACTTTAAATAATGAAATTATGGAAATGAAATCGTTTGATTCTAATTTGAATATTATGGTATTGTCATAATGGTGAAAGTAACAAATAAAATGATAAAAGGTTTTGTAAGGATTTAAAGAAAAATGTGATTAGGGGAATTGTGTTTTGAGAGAATGATAACTTGGAGCTCCTGATGTGTTGGACAACGACCCTTCCACGAATCTCTCGAGGCAGAAGCTGTTTCAGGAAACCTTACTTGATGTTCAGTCAAACTTCCCCACATGGTCCAGCTTTAAAGGTGTTTCCTGATCAGATTACAGATGGAAGTGATTCTGAATATTTGATTTTTAGTTCAGAGTCACTGACTGAGAAAACAAGGTGTGGCCGATTCGCTGAGACTCAACAGGATGAGACTCTTCCTGTCAGACACTGAATCTGACATCCAGCATTTTACTGGTGTGTGTGTGTGTGTGTGTGTGTGTGTGTGTGTGTGTGTGTGTGTGTGTGTGTGTGTGTGTGTCCAGACAGTCAGCTCACTCTGCTTCTTAAATACATTAAACCCTCCTACAGTCTCAATACATCACAGAACATTTAAAACAATAAAATGCATTAATAGCAGAACGTCTGCTTGAAGGTAACCACACCTCTCTTAAAGATGGTAAATACCAGTTGGTAGGTCATAAAGAGAACAATTCAGGAGATCGTGAAGTGAAGAGCCAGTTTCACCTATCTGCTCTTAATTACTCCTTTTATAAAGATTAGTTTTTCAAAGTTCCCTTACTGAGTCCAGGAGTGTCCACCACTGTGACCTGACGTCCTTCCACTGTGGCTGATTCAGAGACAGTCTCTGTACTGACTGGATTAAAGTTACCCGCTGATCTAAACTTCTCTGATCCCAGGATGTTGTTTCCTGAAGAACTTTTTCCAGCTCCTGGTAGGCCGAGCAACACGATCCTTTGGGGCGGAGCATTCTCAGGCTGTGGGTTAGCTAAAGGAATAAAAGTACAGCGATTAAAACATTATTTCGTATGAAATCTTTTGAGTTCAAAAAGTTTAGTTTAAAGCACTGAATCAGAGAAATGAATCATCATTTTCAAATTGTCTCACAGCAATACTTTAATGTCATTGGTTTGTTTCCCACACATCAACATGACTTTGAGCTTGGTCCTGCCCACTGAGAGTGTAGTTTAGAATCTGAACATCCAGACCAAAGAGCTGTGATGAACGTATACATCACGTGTCTGTTGGTTCAGGTATACACTGATTAGTTGTCTGCTCTCCCGTTAGTGTACATCAGAACTCTGACAGTTTAAACTTGTCACAGCAGAAGTTCCTGCTGAACGTTTTCATCATGATGTTTGAACATTTTTCTTCAAAGATAATTACTCACCGAGGTGGCCTGACTTTTCCAGCAGCATCTTCACTTGTTCTGCTCCACCATTTTCATTGTTGATGAAGACATGATGTCTTCCTTTAAACTTTTGAGCAAGAGGTACAAGTGGACCATTTGGATCTTCATTGAGGAAATATTCCAGGGACTTGCTACCCAAATTATCTCCTTGTGTGAAGAGCAGGTAAGAGTTGAGTAGTTGATCCCCTATGACTCTGACAGCTGCCTCCACAGCGTTTTTCTGCTCGATGGTGAATCGATCTATTTTAACTACCACCAGGAACAAACAAGGTCCAGAGGACTCCAGGAGACCCTGACAGCGGGATTTAATCACATCTTCAGATCCAAATATTCCCGGAGTGTCTACCACTGAGATCTGCTTCCCAAACACAGTTCCTGTTTTTATGGAGATTTCTTTTGTCACTGATGCAAATGATTTTCTTGACTCAAATGCTGTTAGACCCAGGATGGTGTTTCCTGATGCACTTTTACCAACTCCAGAGTTTCCAAGAAGGATGATGGTGAGATCTGAACGTCGATCCATGTTTGAACAAAAACAACCAGCGTGAAGAAAAATAAAAGAGAGGTTAGAAGATCTGAAAGCTATTTCTGGAATAGAGTTGGTTATTCTGTCCCTGGACTTATTTTATAGTAAACCAATATATGATATATATATATATACATATATATATATATATATATATATACACATATATACATATATATATATACATATATATATATATATATATGTATATCATATATTATTAGAGTTGGTATCCTCCAAGAAATATAATCTGCTGCAGGCCTGTCAGGGAACTCTGTCTCCCAAACAGCTTTACCTGGAGATCATGAGTTCAGTACAGAAGTCTGAACCAGGCCCACACGCCTTTGTGATTGTGGTCAAAATCGACAGAATCACTGAACTAGAAATCCAACTGTTTAAGCTCGTTGAAAAGCTCTTTGATGAAGACGCTTTACAGTATGTAATGGTGCTTTTCACTCATGGGGATGAGCTTAGGGGGGAGTCCATCTCTGAAATGATCGATGACAACCCATCTGTGAGAAAACTGGTCTCCAGTTGTAACGAAAGGTACTGTGTGTTTGACAACACAGTCAGAGGAAACAAGGGGCAGGTTAGAAACCTCCTGAGGAAAATTGATGTCATGGTCAGAGCTAATGGTGGAAACCACTACACCTCTGAGATGTTAACAAATCCTGAACCTTCTCTATCCGAACGTTGGGAAAAAATTTGTGAGTGGTTCAAACAGTTTCTACAGGAGATTGCTGAGTTCTTTCAATCTCTCAGGAGCTGTGCTTCACCCGCTCCGTATGCTCGAATGGTGATGGCTTAGTTCACTGAGAGGCTGCAGGCTCAGTCGCTGTATGATATCAACATATCGAATCCATTTAAGAGAAACAAAGAGATAATAAGGCTAGTCTTTATGTAAATTTAAACATCAGCTTGATTTCATGTACAGAATCCTCACAGCATCTGACTCCAGCTGAATCTGTAAGAGTCAAAAAATCCCAAAAGTGAAATAAAATATAATTTAATCATCAGAAGATAAAAGATTTGATACGTATAGCAGCTGGCTATAAATATTTTCTTATAGCCAGCTGCACAGTGCAGTGGTTAGCTCTGTTCCCTCACAGCGAGGAGGTTCCTGGTTTGAATCCCCGTCTGTCAGGAGCCTCTCTGAGTGGAGTTTGCATGTTCTCTCCGTGCATGTGTGGGTTCTCTCCAGGTACTCCGGCTTCCTCCCACAGTCCAAAGACATGCTGGTTAGGTTAACTGGAGACTCTAAACAAGCCCCAACAGGAAAAGCGGTATAGATTATAGATGGATATTTCCACAGCATTAGTTAAAATAGTTTTGAGACTGAATGAGTTATTAATCCATGTTTTTATCATTATCAGGGTGAATGTTTCAAACATCGGAAGAAGTTTTTCAGTTTTAGTCAATGTAAAATATATCAGTGTTGAGAAGAGAAATTTAAAACAACTATTTAATCAAGTCTTTATGGATCGGATCAATCATTTATTGGAGAATGAAAGATTACAAATTAAAATGGAGCTTCTCCTGTAGATAAAGTTTCTATAATTAATGACTTCCTTATTTTTCAGTTCTTTGCTGTTTTGATTGTTCATGAATGTGTTTCTATAAACTGCTTTAAGTTATAATATTTCATTATTAATGAGTGACATTATAAACCAGCTATAATTCATGTCTGTTGTGATTATAGATGTTTGTTGATATTTTTTCAATTATTTGATTTCTGAACATGTTTAATCCTGATGGTGGTTTTTCTTTTGATTCTCATAAATATAATAAAAACATTTCTACGTTTTTTGTTAAACTGTTGATTTATTATGAATTATGTATTAAATGGTTGTTACGAATGTGGGAAAACAAAGGAGGTGGACCCAATTGCAGGAACAAACAAAAGGTTTATTTTAACAAAAAAGCAAGAGGCAAAATGCAAAACAAAAACTTACTTGAGCAAAATCCAAAAAGGAAAACAAGGAGCCACTAAGAAACACTGGAAACTCTGACAGACTGACACTCCAACATCTTACATACAACAATGATCTGACACAGAAGGGAAGAAACACAGAGCCTAAATAGACATAGGTGAGACTAATGACACAGGTGAAGACAATGAGGGCAATCAAGACTGGAGGGAAACACACATGCAGGAATAAAATACAAGAACCACTGAGGACAACTACAAACTAAATCATGAAACACTGAAGACACACAGAACTCAAGAATGTAACAAAACACACTAGAACATAAAGAAACACTAGGATACAAAGTCAAAAAAAGGGAAACAACACCAGGGGCCTGTACTATGAAGTGAGATTAACATACCCAGGGTATTTTTGGGTTATCTGGCTACACTAACCCTAACATAAGAGGCCGTGATTAACAGTCTTACGAAGCTGGTTATCAACCTGATAAGTTACCCTCGAGTTTCCAAGAGCGCTTTCACATAAAAGGAGCGTGGTAGCTTAACCTCAAGCATCACAAGCATAACTGTGTCTCCCGTCAGCAGACTGACATATCTAACAAACTCTGAACAAACTACTGTATATTAATAATATAAAGACGTTCTAAACAAACAGGCTCCCAGAGACTAAAGTTACACAGCTTTGGGAATACATGCAGGGAGAACAATTGGCAGATAAAAGAAAAATCGTCAAGTATTAACGTCCAAATGGCTTATTAAAAACATTTTTTTCCCATCATTAGTTCACCTTAGAACTGACTATAGGCCTAATAACTCGTGTTTTTTCTCTTAACTGATTTTGTTGCTCCTACCTTTTAATGTGGCGAGTATAACAGTTTGAGAAGTTATATTTCAGCTGCAGCTCTGACGATAACAGACAGAGCGGCATGGAGACACTAAATATTAAATATGAAAATATAATTCAAAGCCATATCATAATTGAACATCTTAAAAACACAACTCAACGACTCCGGTGCTTTTTTTAGTCTCAGTTGAATGATGAATGATGATATCATTTAAAAATAATCATTAACTTAACGGACTATAATTTTATTATACAGGACACATGATGGGTCTCTCTCCCTCCTCCCCCCTCTCGATCAGCTGCGGGAGCTCCACGATCAAAAGATCTGATTGGTCAGTGTGCGGAGATTTCCACAGGTTGATCTCATATCTCGAACATAACCGGTGCTCCGGAGCTGAAGTTACCTCGCTATCCCCAACTCCCGCTTCGTAGTACAGGCCCCAGTGAAGAATGAGAAGTAAAACAAGATAAATACATCTAAACTCTGAAAAACTAAACTAAATCAAGACAATGGTCTTATTATGTTGATGACAGTGTGTTATTATTTTTCACATTCATTCAGTCTTATTTCTTTAGTTAATTGTATTTAACTCTGAATTCCCCTGACAGCTGGAGTCTTTCTGTTTGTGAGCGTTCAACTTCTGATTTGACTGTAATAAGTTTCAGACTTTACAATAAACCTGATTCTGTTTGAGAAAACAAAGTACCTGCACACTGCAGAGTACGAATGTCCTTATTTATCCAGCCATGCTGAACAGAAGTGAATAGAATAGAAGAAATAGAATAAAATAAATTAGGATACAATATAATGAAACATGTCAATAAAAACTGGTAGACATTTAATTTGTTTTGCATCGTCTGAGGGGAGTTAAAACAGAAAAGGATTTAATCTGTTAGATCAAACATTACAAATTCATTATCTTTATAATTCATATCTTTCTTTCAACAATTACATCTCAATTAAAAAAATCTTAAAATAGTCCTTAATGTTGTAGAGATATTTTTTACACAGCAAACTGTGAGTAATTCTTTCCACCAGCAGGGAGTGCTGCTGCAACACACTGTTATAGACTCAGATTAAACCTGAGCCAGGAGGATCATTTAGTTTTACTTTTTTAAGAAATTGTTTTAATTAAAAACTCTCTGTGAAGCTTTACAGTTTTAACACACACACACACACACACACACACACACACACACACACACACACACACACACATACACACATGCCTACACTACAAACTGAGGACCGTTGTTTTACACTGACAAAGCGAGGACTTCTGTATCAGGTCATTTAAAAATAAAAAAATAGAACAGAAAAATTACTTGAAAGGTCTGAATCATATTATTACATCAAATGTATTTTTTTAAGAAGTTGCTAAGAGGGGACATACAGACCTAAGTGTTATTAACCTATCCAAGAGGAGATCTGCGTACACCACAGTGGAACTGTTAATAATAATTTTACCATAAGTGTTTGTGTACCACAAAGAGTTACTTTGTTTCATTACTGGATACATTCATTTTAATGTTATCAATATTTCAATGTCTTTATCCTCAAATATTATATGAGTATTATCTATACACAACAAACTGTGAGTGAGGCTTTCCTCCAGCAGGGGGTGCTGCTGCTACATGTTGTTACAGACAGTTCAACCCGAGCCAGGAGGATATTTGAATTTAACTCTTTTCCATATTTCATCACAAAAACATTTGTGAAGGAGTTTAATCCAAACATAACTGGAAATGCTTAAAGGTCGGGACTTGCATAGAAACAAAATCCTACAGTGAGAGACAAACAGATTTAAATTCAGTGTGTCAGTGAAAACAACCAGGCAACACACATAAACACACAGCTTACTAAACATCACTGTTCACTCCAATATAAAGTTTACTAATTGTCTGTGTTTCCATTTGTGTAGGTTGACTACACAGTCAAGTTTATAGTCTCAAAGAATACTCCCACACACACATATAAAACACACACACACACACACACACACACACACACACACACACACACACTCACACACACATACATGTCTTAACACTTCATTTAACTGTACTCTCTGTGAAGGAAAGATAGCTGCTAATTGATGCTAACATGTAAATGAAATAAAGTTCTAATGAGACCGGTTGTAAAAAGTGGCGCTCAGACTTGTTGGACGGTCTGTTAGTCCAATAAAGCTCACAGAGAGACAGATTATTAATCTGATATTTACATGAACTAATCTAAAAAAGGCTCCAACAGCACAAACACAACCTAGAGGTTAAAGGTCAGGGACTGAATTAGCTGAGGGGACACCTAGCGGACAGCTAGCAGCTCCCACCTGTCACTCAAAGAGACCACACCGCCTAATTCAACATCCCTTTAAGCCTTAATATAATGTAAAGAGGTGAGTTGTATAAACATTCACCCCGTACAGTTAAAGAGAGAAATGAGCTCTAGAGACCCAAACTGTTTTTGTAGCAGGCTGTAAACATGTTTATTTCTTCTGTAAAGTTGGACTTTTTAACATAAGGCTCTATGGGGACTGACTCACTGCAGGAGACAGACTCTAGAGGACACTGTAGGAACTGCAGGCTTCGAAATTAATATTATCTCTTCAGCCTGTTTTTTGCTTAATTTGCATACAAAATCAGCTGTACGACTCCATCTAGTAAACAGTTTGTGTGTGTGTGTGTGTGTGTGTGTATATGTATGTTTCATGCATGTTGCTATAACAGACTAGAGTATAACTTAGGCGTACTGCTGCATTATTATTACTACATCTATAACTGCAGACAGACAGACAGAGAGAGAGAGAGAGAGAGAGAGAGAGAGAGAGAGAGAGAGGGTGGGGATAGTGAGACAGTGGAGGAGTGTCTGTTCGAGAGTTCAGTTTTCACACAGCGGCTCACTCTCAGTTTGTCTGGAGGTTTCTCTTTCTGAAGATCTCGTTCTGTCTGTCTCTCTCTCGCTCTCTCTGTATAACTGTCTGTCTCTCTCGCACTCTCTTTGTCTGTTTGTGTCATGATGGAGATTTATCGTTATGGATTATTAATCATTGTATTCCTGCTGCTGATCAACAGTTCACATTCAGTGTATGTCACTGACAACCCAGGTGAGATACACTGCTGATACTATTAAGACTCCTACACTTGAAACTTCTGTTAATACAAATACATTCACTATTACTAAAACAATACCTCATAATACTTTAACAAATGATTCCACCGTTACTCTCTCTATTTTTGATAAAACATCTCTTAAAACCCAGATGAGACACACTGCTGATACTACTCCTACTGTTAATATTACATATGCTTGTATTACAACTAGTTTAACTAATACTGCTGCAGTCTGTACTCCTGCTAATGCTAAACCGTTACTGCTTCTTTATCTAACACTGGAACAATCAGTATGACATCAGTGACCACTAGGAAGACACTCTACTGCTAATATATTACTACTAATACTGTAATAACCACTAATACTGTAAAGAGTACTGGTACTGTAAAGAGTAATAATACTGTAAAGAAGTACTGGTACTGTAAAAAGTACTGGTACTGTTAGAACTACTGGTACTGTTAGAACTCCTGGTACTGTTAGAACTACTGGTACTGTAAAGAGTAATAATACTGTAAAGAAGTACTGGTACTGTAAAAAGTACTGGTACTGTAAAAAGTACTGGTACTGTTAGAACTACTGGTACTGTTAGAACTCCTGGTACTGTTAGAACTACTGGTACTGTTAGAGCTACTGGTAGTGTTAGAACTCCTGGTACTGTTAGAACTACTGATACTGTTAGAGCTACTTCTGTTAGAATTACTAATACTGTTAGAACTACTGATACCGTTAGAACTCCTGGTACTGTTAGAACTCCTGGTACTGTTAGAACTACTGATACTGTTAGAGCTACTACTGTTAGAACTCCTGGTACTGTTAGAACTCCTGGTACTGTTAGAACTACTGATACTGTTAAAGCTACTACTGTTAGAACTACTGATACTGTTAGAACTCCTGGTACTGTTAGAACTACTGATACTGTTAGAACTACTGGTACTGTTAGAACTCCTGGTACTGTTAGAGCTACTTCTGTTAGAACTACTGATACTGTTAGAACTACTGATACTGTTAGAGCTACTTCTGTTAGAATTACTGATACTGTTAGAACTCCTGGTACTGTTAGAACTCCTGGTACTGTTAGAACTCCTGGTACTATTAGAACTCCTGGTACTGTTAGAACCACTGATACTGTTAGAACTCCTGGTACTGTTAGAACGCCTGGTACTGTTAGAACTACTGATACTGTTAGAGCTACTACTGTTAGAACTACTGATACTGTTAGAACTACTGGTACTGTTAGAACTCCTGGTACTGTCAGAACTCCTGGTACTGTCAGAGCTACTTCTGTTAGAACTACTGATACTGTTAGAACTCCTGGTACTGTTAGAGCTACTGATACTGTTAGAACTCCTGGTACTGTTAGAACTACTGGTACTGTTAGAGCTACTACTGTTAGAGCTGCTGATACTGTTAGAACTACTGATACTGTTAGAACTACTGGTACTGTTAGAACTACTGATACTGTTAGAACTCCTGGTACTGTTAGAACTACTGATACTGTTAAGATTTAAGATTTACTAAGATTAACTTTTTATTGATCCCTGCAAGGGGAGATTTCAGTTTTTACACTCTGTAAGTCATGAACACACACATAGGCTGAAATATACACACACATGCAGAAACAGGATCCTATGGACATGTACTAATGGAGAGAAGCCAGAGTGACGGAGCAGCCCACAGCGGGCGCCCCTGAGCTGATGGTGGGGAGGGGGTTTGGTACCTCGGCAGTGCTCAGGAGGTGATCTGGCACCTCTCCAGCTACCAGACCAACTTCCATATTTGGTTTGCACCGGGACTTGACCCTCCGGTTCCCAACCCAAGTCCCTACAGACTGAGCTACTGCCGCCCCAAGTAGTTAGAACTACTGGTACTGTTAGAACTCCTGGTACTGTTAGAACTCCTGGTACTGTTAGAACCACTGATACTGTTAGAACTCCTGGTACTGTTAGAACGCCTGGTACTGTTAGAACTACTGATACTGTTAGAGCTACTACTGTTAGAACTACTGATACTGTTAGAACTACTGGTACTGTTAGAACTCCTGGTACTGTCAGAGCTACTTCTGTTAGAACTACTGATACTGTTAGAACTCCTGGTACTGTTAGAGCTACTGATACTGTTAGAACTCCTGGTACTGTTAGAACTCCTGGTACTGTCAGAGCTACTTCTGTTAGAACTACTGATACTGTTAGAACTCCTGGTACTGTTAGAGCTACTGATACTGTTAGAACTCCTGGTACTGTTAGAACTACTGGTACTGTTAGAGCTACTACTGTTAGAGCTGCTGATACTGTTAGAACTACTGATACTGTTAGAACTACTGGTACTGTTAGAACTACTGATACTGTTAGAACTCCTGGTACTGTTAGAGCTACTGATACTGTTAGAACTCCTGGTACTGTTAGAACTACTGATACTGTTAAGATTTAAGATTTACTAAGATTAACTTTTTATTGATCCCTGCAAGGGGAGATTTCAGTTTTTACACTCTGTAAGTCATGAACACACACATAGGCTGAAATATACACACACATGCAGAAACAGGATCCTATGGACATGTACTAATGGAGAGAAGCCAGAGTGACGGAGCAGCCCACAGCGGGCGCCCCTGAGCTGATGGTGGGGAGGGGGTTTGGTACCTCGGCAGTGCTCAGGAGGTGATCTGGCACCTCTCCAGCTACCAGACCAACTTCCATATTTGGTTTGCACCGGGACTTGACCCTCCGGTTCCCAACCCAAGTCCCTACAGACTGAGCTACTGCCGCCCCAAGTAGTTAGAACTACTGGTACTGTTAGAACTACTGATACTGTTAGAACTCCTGATACTGTTAGAACTCCTGGTACTGTTAGAACTACTGATACTTTCCTAGTTCTAGTCACTATTCGAGCTGCAGCATTTTGGACCAGTTGAACAGTCTTTAGAGACTTACCAGGGCAGCCTGATAAAAATAAATCACAATAATATAACCTTGAGGTAACAAATGCATTCAGCCAGAAGGGATATATAGTCCCTCCCGAGAGCTCTTGGTCTACCTCTGGATCTCCTCCCAATTGGACGTGCCCTGAAGACCTCCAGAGAGAGGCGACCAGGAGGTAGCCTAATCAGATGCATGAACCACCACCACCAACTTGACACAAAGCTCATTTTGGATGTTCAAGCTCCTTATCCTATCTCTAAGACTGAGCCCAGGCAGGGGAGTAAACTAATTCAAGCTGATCCATTCTTTCAGTCACTAACCACAGTACATGAACATCATCTGTCCTCAGTGTCCTCCGTGTTCTCAGTGTCCTCAGTGTTCTCAGTGTCCTCAGCGTTATCAGTGTCCTCAGTGTTCTCAGTGTCTTAGGTGTCCTCAGTGTTCTCAGTGTCCTCAGTGTCTTAAGTGTCCTCAGTGTTCTCAGTGTCTTAGGTGTCCTCAGTGTCTTAGGTGTCCTCAGTGTCCTCAGTGTCTTAGGTGTCCTCAGTGTTCTCAGTGTCTTAAGTGTCCTCAGTGTTCTCAGTGTCCTCAGTGTCTTAGGTGTCCTCAGTGTTCTCAGTGTTCTCAGTGTCCTCAGTGTTCTCAATGTCTTAAGTGTCCTCAGTGTTCTCAGTGTCCTCAGTGTCTTAGGTGTCCTCAGTGTCCTCAGTGTTCTCAGTGTCCTCAGTGTTCTCAGTGTCCTCAGTGTCTTAGGTGTCCTCAGTGTTCTCAGTGTCCTCAGTGTTCTCAGTGTCCTCAGTGTTCTCAGTGTTCTCAGTGTCCTCAGCGTTATCAGTGTCCTCAGTGTTCTCAGTGTCTTAGGTGTCCTCAGTGTTCTCAGTGTCCTCAGTGTCTTAAGTGTCCTCAGTGTTCTCAGTGTCTTAGGTGTCCTCAGTGTCTTAGGTGTCCTCAGTGTCCTCAGTGTCTTAGGTGTCCTCAGTGTTCTCAGTGTCTTAAGTGTCCTCAGTGTTCTCAGTGTCCTCAGTGTCTTAGGTGTCCTCAGTGTTCTCAGTGTCCTCAGTGTCTTAGGTGTCCTCAGTGTTCTCAGTGTCTTAAGTGTCCTCAGTGTCCTCAGTGTCTTAGGTGTCCTCAGTGTTCTCAGTGTCCTCAGTGTCTTAGGTGTCCTCAGTGTTCTCAATGTCTTAAGTGTCCTCAGTGTTCTCAGTGTCCTCAGTGTCTTAGGTGTCCTCAGTGTCCTCAGTGTTCTCAGTGTCCTCAGTGTCTTAGGTGTCCTCAGTGTTCTCAGTGTCCTCAGTGTTCTCAGTGTTCTCAGTGTCTTAGGTGTCCTCAGTGTCCTCAGTGTTCTCAGTGTTCTCAGTGTCCTCAGTGTCTTAGGTGTCCTCAGTGTTCTCAGTGTCCTCAGTGTTCTCAGTGTCTTAAGTGTCCTCAGTGTTCTCAGTGTCCTCAGTGTCTTAGGTGTCCTCAGTGTCCTCAGTGTTCTCAGTGTCCTCAGTGTTCTCAGTGTCCTCAGTGTCTTAGGTGTCCTCAGTGTTCTCAATGTCTTAAGTGTCCTCAGTGTTCTCAGTGTCCTCAGTGTCTTAGGTGTCTTAGGTGTCCTCAGTGTTCTCAGTGTCCTCAGTGTTCTCAGTGTCCTCAGTGTCTTAGGTGTCCTCAGTGTTCTCAGTGTCCTCAGTGTTCTCAGTGTCCTCAGTGTTCTCAGTGTTCTCAGTGTCTTAGGTGTCCTCAGTGTCCTCAGTGTTCTCAGTGTTCTCAGTGTCCTCAGTGTCTTAGGTGTCCTCAGTGTTCTCAGTGTCCTCAGTGTTCTCAGTGTCTTAAGTGTCCTCAGTGTTCTCAGTGTCCTCAGTGTCTTAGGTGTCCTCAGTGTCCTCAGTGTTCTCAGTGTCCTCAGTGTTCTCAGTGTCCTCAGTGTTCTCAGTGTTCTCAGTGTCTTAGTGTCCTCAGTGTCCTCAGTGTTCTCAGTGTTCTCAGTGTCCTCAGTGTCCTCAGTGTCTTAGGTGTCCTCAGTGTTCTCAGTTGTCCTGGCTTCAGCAGCAGAATAAATCTGGAACCGTTCCTTTCTTCTGTCTCTGAGTCACAGAACTTTCCTCTCCACGTTTTTCACATAAATCTTTGTGTTTATGCGTCTGTGGCGCTTGGGAATGTGAAGGATTCAGATCATATTTCATCATAACCTGCGAGCGTGTGTGTGTGTGTGTGTGTGTGTGTGTGTGTGTGTGTGTGTGTGTGTGTGTGTGTGTGTGTGTGTGTGTGTGTGTGTGTGTGTGTGTGTGAGTGACCTATATGACCTCACACACAGAGTCCCCCCATCTCATTAAATCGGCTCAGTTATTGTATTCTTGTTTATTCTGAACTGAGATGAGCCGCAGCTAACGCTGCACTCTGATTGGCTCTTTTTCTCACAGCTGTTTGAAGGTTTTTGTCTGTTTTTCACATTTTGAACTCTCAGCTTCCAACATGTGGTGTGTTCATGAATCACACCTCTCTTACATTTTCAACGATTGTAGATCATCCTGACTGAGCCTTTCTGTGTATCATGTAGCTGCTGTATACTGTGTGTGGTGTGTGTGTGTGTGTGTGTGTGTGTGTGTGTGTGTGTGTGTGTGTGTGTGTGTGTGTGTGTGTGTGTGTGTGTGTGTGTGTGTGTGTGTGTGTGTAGATAAGGATAATTTTGCTCTTTGTTGCTCCATGTGTGCATCATTTCTATCAGTTGTTTTACAATGCACTAATGCATTGGCTTACAGGTGAAGAAAGGCATAAAGTTTTTTCAAACTCTCTTTCTCCCTCTCTCTCTCTCTCTCTCTCTTTCTCTCACTCACTCAGATTCTCTCCATCAGGTCCTGTCAGAGTTTAGCAGCGTCCGTCCAATCAGGACAAACTCAGAGGGGCATTTCCTGTCAGATTCAGTCTCTGTCCACCACCTACGACGCAGCAGGAGACACGCCCGCCCTCCTGAAGACACAGTCACATACACAAATAGAAATGTTTTTAAGGACACATCAACATTCCAAAAGGTCCCGCCCACAAAAGTGTCACTATCCAATCAGACAGGGCATGGATGGAGAGGGCGGGGTTACAAAACAGAGGGGGAGGAGCTTTTTTACAATGTAACTGTTTTTGGTCAGGAGCTCCACCTGCGGCTACATCTAAACACTCGGCTTGTTGCCCCCGCAGCCACAATGGAGTGGTGGGAGGAGTCGGGACAGAAACGCTCTGAGCCAATCAGAGACACCGGATGCTTTTACACCGGAGAGGTGTCCAACATGGAGGACACTTCTGTCGCCATTAGCAACTGTGACGGGCTGGTAAGTCTAAGGAGATGACATCACAGTGTGGCCGCCTGTCAATCAGGTCATCAAAACATTCACCCCCCGTACAGTGTGTGCCGATCGAGACATGAGCTAATCAGACCGATTTGGTTTTTTGAACCAGGCTGTAAACATGTTAACCTCTACTGTAAAAACTAGCTTTTTTGAATGGGTGTGTATGTGACTTCCTGTAGTTCTGCAGCCAGCCTCTAGTGGACACTCCAGGAACTGCAGGATTTTAAACTTCAGCATATGCTTCATTTTTCAACACTGGAGGTTGCTGCTTCACAGAAACAAGTCGATTCATGAGAGTGTAGATGAGACCTGCTCAGACACAAACCAAACACTGTAAAACATGAGAGACTAAAACCAAATCAGCAGATTGAAGCCAGATGTGCAGACAGATGAGAGGTGTTTAAAGACTCAAAGAAAAGTGGGAGATTTCCCTGATGCAGCCACTCAGCTGATTTAAAGGGGCAGATTTCATCAACAGGTGAACACAACAACACCTGATAACGATAAAGCCAATCCTGAGCTGAGTGTAACTTCTAATTTATCATGTAGAGATAATCTACTGATGAATATGTTGACTCACAGTAAAATAACGCTGACTCCGATTTAATATTAATGACTAAACTGACACCTGATCCTGAAAGCAGATTAACAGGATACCAACCGCAGATTAACTGTAGATTAATGACTCTATGTCTGCAGGCCGGAATGATCCTGATTGGTCAGGAGGAGTTTTTCATCGAGCCGTTGGATGGAAGGAGGACAGATGGAGGAGGGGAAGAGGAGGAGGAGGGAGGAAGAAATCATATCGTTTATCGATCCTCAGCTATCATCAAGACACAACCAGCTGTCAATCAAAGTGCTGACGACTTCCTGAGAGGTGAGAAAACAAAAATATCAACTGACTGAGAAGAGGATGTTATCCTAAACCTGCTTTCTCTCTAATGTCCAGCAGCGGTAGTTTCAAGTCTTCTTCAACACAGCGTGATGTTCATTCAGTAAATTATGGTCCAATTAGAGTCCGAGAGACCAGAGAGAGGGGGAGGAATTAGGGGCAGGGCTAAACAGAGACAGAAAGCTGGAGACTATCGGGGGCAGTATGTGTGGAGATATGTTATTCTTTCTGGCTAACAACTTAAATTAAGAAATTAAAACCTGTCCTAAGTTTTTCCTCTTCGTTAGATATCCTGAGGTTTCTATTGAAGAAAATGTTTCATCCAACTAAATCAAATAAATGACTTTGAGTCTCAGGTCAGACTGCAGAGTGTGTGTTACATGAGGATAAAAGAGACAGCAGAGTAAACGGCGGCTGTTGCTCGTTGGTAGAGTCGTCGCCTCTCAACCAGCATCTCAACCCTGCATTGCTCCCACTGCTTCAGTCGCAGTGTATGAATGGATTAGTGTTGTACTTACTCTCTGATGTACGTCGCTTTGGATAAAAGCGTCTGCGTCTGAATTGTAGAATTGTAACTGAATCATCTGCGTAAGGTGGAATCTGTCCGTTTGTTAATATGATCTCACAGGACAAACAGACCACATAGACCATGATGCAATGCTTTATCTAAAAAGACTCAACAGTTTTAAAATGAGCTCCAACTTGACAGACGCAGCAGTGATAAGAAGATGAACACAAATACAGAAGGACATTTTTAGTACTCGTTATACTCAGACAGTTTGACTTCTGTTTGTTAACATCGACCCGTCTGTTTTTACAGTGCAGCTCCTCCACACGTCTGCTGTGTTTCTGCAGAAGGAAAGAATCAAAGTGAAAGGAAACTTGGCACACACACACACACACACACACACACACACACACACACACACACACACACACACACACACACACACACACACACACACACACAGTCAGCCAGATGCAACGTGGCAGTCGGGGGTTCACAGCTCTGTTTTTGAGTTTTGAAGTTTTTGTAGTTTTGAAATTTGGAGGCAAGGAGGTCTGCTCTCAGGGGTTCAGGGGGGACTTGGGGGGACTCGTTGGTCTTCTGTGTTTGTCTTCACAGCAGCGTCAGCCAATCAGGAGCCGATGTTGTTTCACCTCAGATAAACTTGTCCTGCGGCAGCTCGCCATGACCTCAGAGTGTCTCTGATTGATGATGCAATTTCCTCCTCCACAGATTGGACAGATGTTTTTATGGAACAGATTTAATTAAATCAGGATTCATGTTTGTAATAAAACATGTGTTCACAGGACTTTCTATCAGAGTTCATATTTACATCAGGACAGGGCCTCTACACTGCTCCATGGCCTGTCAGTAATGGACTAAAGCTGTTATATATACAACTTAGGGTTATTATATACATAATGCTTAAAGAAGAAGAGGGATTATTTATTCAGTTTAATACATTTAGTATCAACCCATCTGACTGAACCTTTCATCAAACATTATTCTAACCCTAACAGTCCAGAGGAGAGCACTTTAATATGTTTATTAATAAAATGTTTAAAATGACAGAAACTAAACCTTAAACTAACTTCTACACCTTTATTTAAAGTCTGACGTTTACTAATGAAACATTGGGTTTCAGCAGGACTGCAGATAAACGGTCTCTATTCAACATGTAGGGGGCACTAAAACAGAAACTACTCCAACCTGCATATCATCACACCTACAGAACAAAATGTGTGTGTACTCAGATCAGTCATGATCTCATCATGTCATCAGTTCAGTTTCAACATGGAGGCTGTTATAAGAGTCAGGTCTGATATTAGAGGACTCAAGTGGTTCTCCTGTTTGTCTCCAGGTCCTCTTTTAGGTTCTCTGATCCTAAACCAGAATGTGCCCCGGTCCAGACCCATCTCCGCCCGACAGCGGCGCTACATTGAAGAGGCTGAACTGTTTAACATCGAGGTGAACGACCTGAGTGTGAAGAAAGAGCGATGAACTGTTGAATGGACTCTTTAACCTCCTGATGGCCTCTTCTTCTCCTACAGGTTCTGTTAGCTGTGGATTATTCAGTGCTTCTGTTCATGGACGAGACCACATCCAGAAGTATCTGCTCACACTCATGAACATCGTAAGAGATACTGATTATTATTCACTTCTTGATGTAAGTTATATTTCCTGAGTAAAGAGTGCTGAGTCTGGTTGTTCCTGACCGAGCTGCACTCACACGCTGACCGAGATGAGTTTCACTGTTTCAAACAAAGTGTCCTCCCTGAATGAAGCAAGAAAGGATGACTCAAAGACAACATTCAAATCATTGTCATGGTAACGACTCCAGAGCATTTCCACATATGTGGATGAAGTGTGGACTTGCTGACAGCCCCAGACTGATTTAACCCCTGGTTATATTAATAATAATTATGTCAGAGTTATATTTACAGAGTTTATTTATAGAGCTTTTATTTTGAAGGCGGAATTGTTTTCCTGATCACTGGAAAGTTTGAGCGTCACATCTCTTCGGCTGCGGCGCAGTTATCACCAACTCTCAGAAGACGATCATGTTTTCACTCTAACTGTGCGTGGCTGTTAGCGCCCCCTGTCTGTGAGTTAGACTCTTTTTACAATGAGGCTGATTTACAGAGAAAGAGACGATCATTTAAATACAAACTGCAGCAACGCAGAGACGCAGTTTGTTCTGCAGCGCAGTTACCCGAACATTTAACCCTATGATCTCCATGCACTCCGTTTTCATATCTGCACTCTGGATAATATCTAGATAATTTCAGGAGGACTGCTCCGGAGATTCTCCCGATCTAGCCATTCACATATGCTCCTCTCAGACTATTCCAGTCAAGGGGGTGGGACTATTCCTGTCAGAGGGGAGGGGGAGCGGGAGTCTCCCGAGGAAAGACGTGACGCAAAAAAACAACACTGAAGTAGCGGACTAAGCAACAGAGTCCGCTACACGACGCTATGAGAATGTTTGTCTTTATATCAATGCTATGTGTAATCTAATGGAATGATAACATCCACAAAAGAGCGGAGAAGAACATTCTGCAGAACAGAAAACATAATGCATATTATGTGCATGGAGATCATAGCGGTTGCGTACAGACACTTAATGCACTGTGCGGCTGTCACTGTATATAAACATCACTCTCCCTCCTATTGGCTCGAGCTGAATTCTCTGGAAAATATCCTGCGCCATTCTCTCATCAGCCCACTCGGAAAAAATACTAATAAGGGTCTGGCCGGAGAAACTCCAGGTGAAGTCCGCGTAAAATCTGGCTGTTTGTATTCACGCATACAGCCCCTCCGGGTAATCTCTGGAGTTTTTCAGGAGATTTCTGTATGTGTGTACCCGTAGGTCAAAGGTCATACTCAGCTTGAAGCTCCAGAATCAGTCTGGATCTGGGCAGTGAAGTGTTCTGGTTTCTTACCGGGAACTGGTTTAAAATGATCCTAATTCCTGTCTACATGAACTGGTTCTACACACCAGGAAACCCCCTCCACGATAAGAGGTCAGCTGCAAGAAATGATTCAGATCTTACCTCCACACCTGTGTGTCTGTGTTCCAGGTGAATGAGATCTACCAGGATCACTCTTTGGGCACTAACATCAACGTGGTCCTGGTCAGGATCGTCATGTTGTCCCCAGCAAAGGTACGCTACGCTACTGTTACCATACCAGAATTTAAACTTTGATATGATTTGAGTATCAAAGGATATCGACACCTGTTTGATACTACGGCCCAAAAATAGAAGTCTGAGAAAACTAGTATTTGGTTATTTATTGCTTTTTATTGTCATAAACTGCAGACAAAGCTTCAGACTTTTTGGATTTTGAAGTGGAACATGTGGTATTTGTCCATTCTGTGAGCTACTAAATAAGACAGAATATCTACGGAGAGAAAGGTCCAATAGAGAACACACCTCATATAGGCTGAATAAATTTTACCTCAGAGTTTTACAGGTTTACTCATTGGAAAACAATAAACTAACAGTGTAGGAACGCCAACAGAGGGGATTGTGTTATACAGCACAGATCCTCTGAGTTTGGCAAATGAGCCATCTCTAATAGAGCTACACATTTTGGAACTCCATACCAGCTAAAATCAGAGTGTGCAGTAGCTTTGCTGAATTTAAATTTAAAATCAAATCATGGCTTAAATCAACTCAATCATGTCCTCATCACACATAAACACATTTTCATAAACTCTGTTTAATAATTAGTGTACTGATACAGTATGTTATGATGGCTTTGTTGTTGTGGTGTATTGGATATATATGTTGTAGTATAGCTGTAGTTAGTGTAGTTTTTAAAGTCAAGTGATCTTAGCCTATTATTGTTTTAATATAATGTGTGAATTTCACTGTGGACTAGTGTAATACCATTGTCCAGTGGTTGTGTACTGTCTTACTGCTGTGAATATGTTGTTAGTGTATGTTTTGTTTCTTCACAGAGACATAGTCTCTGTACCCTGCCTAGGGACTACAGATGTAAATTAGTTTATAGCTAACTCTGGTACAGCTTATTGGCTGTACACTGTCCCTGTCAAAATAAAAAAATGAATGGAATAAATGAAAAAATGCCTCCTCAGTCCCAGGAGCTGATCTCTGTGGGGAACCCTCAGAAGAGTCTGGAGAACGTATGTGGATGGTCCTACCTCCAGCAGAGGGAGCAGAGTCACGCCGAGCAGCACGACCACACCATCTACCTGACCAGGCAGGAGTTCGGTCCCTCTGGCATGCAGGGTACTGCTGATACTACTGCTGATACTACTGCTGATACTACTGCTGATACTATTGAAACTACTGATACTACTGCTGATACTACTGCTGATACTACTGCTGATACTACTACTGCTGATACTACTGCTGATACTATTACTACTGATACTACTGCTGATACTACTGCTGATACTACTGTTACTACTGCTGATACTACTGCTGATACTACTGCTGTTACTACTGCTGATACTATTGCTGATACTACTGTTACTACTGCTGATACTACTGCTGATACTACTGTTACTACTGCTGATACTACTGCTGATACTATTGTTACTACTGCTGTTACTACTGCTGATACTACTGCTGATACTACTGTTACTACTGCTGATACTGCTGATACTACTACTGATACTACTGCTGATACTACTGTTACTACTACTGATACAACTGTTACTACTGCTGATACTACTGCTGATACTACTACTGATACAACTGTTACTACTGCTGATACTACTGCTGATACTACTTCTGATACTACTGCTGATACTACTACTGATACTACTACTGATACTACTGCTGATACTACTACTGATACTACTGCTGATACTACTGATACTGCTGACATGGATTTTAACATCATTCATGATGCGTTCCATTTGATCTCGGAAGTCAGAGATTCCGAGTTACTGGTGTGATACATCATCAGGAATGCCCCCCTGAAGTCGGAATTCTGACTTGGAAAAGTGGAGAACCTTCGGTAGCCCAATTTAAAATCCATTATGCTGCTCCATGCATCAATAGTAGTTCAATCTGTGCAATATTGTGTTTATTAGCAACTTATCATTCTTTTAGTGTAATTAAATTTATCATCAATCTCACATCAAGTTGTTTGGTTGGTTCTGTATGCTGGGTTCTACCTCTAACAGTACTACTAAGACTACAAAGACTTCTACATGCAGGACACTACTACTTATCATCATCATAAATAATATCAGTACTAATACAAACACCGTCTCTGAGACCAGACCCTGACCCACCCTGACCTCTGACTTCTGATCTCTCTGCAGGTTATGCTCCGGTCACAGGGATGTGTCACCTGCATCGGAGCTGCGTCCTCGTCATTGAGGATGGTTTCTCCTCAGCCTTTGTAGCGGCTCATGAAACAGGACACGTGTGAGACACAAAAACACTCTAACTTCATTCATGTTTGTAGGCAGAAGTACAAATCAGTCATAATTCAAACATTTTTAAAGAGGACAGTTTAAAGCAACAGTCAGATGAGTGTACAAGACAGTAATGGACCTCAAGGTGTCCACAAAGACATGATAAGAACTCCAAGAGGAGCATGAACAAATGAGAAGAGTGAACAGTGTCCGCATAGACACGATAAAACCAGGTGTCGTCAAGGAGTCAGTTTGGACTACCAATTTTGACCCCCAGGTGTCCAATTAGAGATGATAACGACTCCTTGATGTCCAAAAATCGATAATTTTTTACCCCTGGTGTCCATGATGAATTAGATGACAGTGACTTCAAGCTTTCATGATAGAGAACTAAAAGACTCCAAGATGTAAAAACAAATGTCTGTCTGTCTGTGTGTCTGTGTGTCTGTCTGTCTGCCTGCCTGTCTGTCTGTCTGTCACAGGTTAGGGATGGAGCATGATGGCGAGGCTAACGACTGTGAGGATGACGTGGAGTTGGGAAGCATCATGTCTCCACGAGTTCAGGCCACCTTTCATCGATACCACTGGTCTCGCTGCAGCTGGAGGGAGCTGCACCAGTACCTGCAGTGAGTCCTAAAAACAGTACTACAGTATACTGAATGTAACAAACAGTACTACAGTATACTGACTGTAACAAACATTGTCACTGTATACTTACTGTGACCCAAAGGAGACACTGTGTCCTAATTGACTCCACCCCTTTCTCCCTGTCATCAGAACCTATGACTGTCTCCGTGACGACCCGTTTAACCACGATTGGCCCGCTCTACCTCAGCTGCCGGGCTTTCAGTACTCCATGGACCAACAGTGTCGTTTCGACTTCGGACCGGGATACAGTCTGTGTACTGCAGTAAGTCTCAATGCTCACCTGTTTGTGTCCTTATCTGTGTGCTCACCTGTCTGTCTGTTCACCCGTCTGTCCACTCATTGTTTCCATGAAAACAAAACCCTGCTGGACACAAAGATCCTGTCACTGAGACTCTTGTCCTTTGGGTTAGAGTTAGATATTGCTGAATTCTGTGATAAATCTAGATGAACCGGAGGACGTTTAGTGAAGAACAAAACTAAGGAAACATTTACAGTCTAACTTTTAGAATGAAACAAAGTGACTCTCTGAACTGAAACAGGAGATTTTTGTTTTCTGGTGTTTTTGTGAGACTGTGCTGCACAGATGTGACTCTTTGATGTGTGTTTTGATTGGACGGCAGCAGAACATCTGGTCAGAATGTCTGAACATTTGATGACATCATACAGAAACCTTACCCGGGAGATTGATTAACACTACAGATCTTTCATCTGATGACGACTTTATTCTGGATGTTTCCAACAGTTCAGCCTGATGATGAAATGATTGTGTTGTACATTTGAACGAAGTTACATACTACATGTAAAACATTGTAAACACAGGAAAACCAACCGGGGACACAGAGTCGTCAGTCAAAGCTTCTACAACTTGTTGCATCTTCTTCCAACACCTTTAATCTTTTTTTTTTTGTTAAAGATATATTTTGGGTTTTTTTATGCCTTTAATTGAGAGACAGGACAGTGGATAGAGTTGGAAATCAGGGGGAGAGAGTGGGGAATGACATGCAGAACAGGAGCCACAGGCCGGAGTTGAACTGGAGGACCAAAGCCTCCATACATGGGGCGCGCACACCACTGCGCCACCAGCGTCCCCTAACACCTTTAATCTACTTGAAAATGATTTAAAGAGACCAGCTCCCCCAGACTCATATCTTCCTGCAATAGATTTCAACTGCAGGAGACACAAAACGTAAACAAATTTTTAATGTAATTTTTCAACTCATCCATTCATACGCATCCACACACTGATGGTAGAGGCTGCTGTGTAGAGAGACCATCAGTAGTAACTCATACAGGAGAAGCTGGGGATTGAACCTTTGACCTTCAGGTTGAGTGGTGACTGACTCTCTCACTGATCCACAGCCGCCTCATAAAGAACCACAGCTGCAACTTTAACAACTTTATGAGCTGCTGAATATAAACTTAGATTATCATGTTTACGATTAGTTTTTGTATTTTCACATGTTCTAAGTATCTTCACACACGTATGTTTGTCTGCAGTACACGACCTTGGAGCCCTGTAAGCAGCTGTGGTGCAGTGCGTACAACAACCCGTTCTACTGTAAGACCAAGAAAGGCCCGCCGCTCGATGGGACCAAGTGTGGACCAGGGAGGGTGAGGACAAGTTCAGGAAGTCGAGGGTTAATGTGTGGCTGCGGTCCAAACTGAGATATGTCTGATGGATGTGTGTGCTTCAGGACTTTATGTTCTCCCAACTCTGTTGATCTAGTGCCATCATCAGGTCAATATTTTAATGTATCCAATACTTTGGTTTATAAGCGCATACCTGCAGATTTGGTTTGACAGTTGATTTAACTAGAGCTCATGTTATTCATCTCGGTATTTTAGGATAACAACACAGGTGTCTCGATGATAAAGAGTTTATTACATGTGATCTAGAAAACGGCTGAAATTATCTGGTTATTAAGGCAATGTTACAGTGAAAATAAAATAAACAAGCTCAGACCTCAAGAAAATAACTTGTATTAACTTGATATCACAGGAAAACTGAGTTAAATCAAACGTATGGATCCATGTCCTTTTAGGATACAATACAGGACCATACAATAGAAGACGAGACCATAAAAGATGATATGATACAAGGCCATATGATAGAAGACAATACGATTTGATACAATACAAGACCGTATGATAAAAGACCATATGATAGAAGACGATACGATACAAGACGATACGATAACATTTTATACGATACGATGTGAAACAAGACGATTGAAGTGGATACAATACAAGGCAAGATCATGAGAAACAAGGCGAGAGTATTAGATAAGAAACAATTTGATACACTTTATTGACGCTTGGGGAGACTTTGACTCGGGCTTCAGTAAAGAACAGATCTCAAAACGTGCTGTTAATATGTATATAGGTGTTGGACTGCAGCAGTACTACACGTAAATAATTATAAGGCTCATAAACAGATGTCCTGATGATGTCACGGTCTGTTGTTGCAGCACTGCTTTAAAGGTTATTGCATGAGGCTGACCCCCGACATGCTCAGACAAGATGGCGGCTGGGGAACATGGAGTCCATATGGGAGCTGTTCCAGGACCTGTGGAGGCGGGGTCAGGTTTCGGACTCGCCGCTGCGATAACCCAGCGTGAGTAGGCAGTTAACAATTGGTGATGTCACAAATCAGATGCACCAATCAGAGAATCTAACCTGTTGTTGTTCTCAGTCCAGCCAACGGGGGGCGCACCTGCTTCGGAAACAGTTACGAGTTCCAGCTCTGCAGCCAAGAAGAGTGCCCCCCCCTCACTGACTTCAGGTGAGAAGGTCTACTGTTCACTCTGTTATCGATTAACTATCACTGACTTCAGGTGTTCGCTCTGTTATCAATAAGCTATGACTGACTTTAAGTGTTCACTCTGTTGTCAATTAGCTATGACTGACTTCAAGTGTTCACTCTGTTATCAATTAGCTATGACTGACTTCAAGTGTTCACTCTGTTATCAATTAACTATGACTGACTTCAAGTGTTCACTCTGTTATCCGTTAGTAATTATTATATAAACTGTATAAAAAGATGGACAACATGGCAGCTCCCTAAAAGTGAAGCCAAACATTTCAGAGCTCCCCCTGCTGGCTGGCTGCAGTGTAGCTCATTAAGCTCTGCCTCCTCCATGTTAACAGATGGAAGTTGAGTCAAGCTATAAAGTGAAAACACTTTTCAGATTAATGTTTGGTTTCTCTCTTTAACGTTAGTTATTTGATATAAGAAAGACCAGATGCAATGTTATGATTGACAGCTGTGTTGACCAATGAGACTCCTGCGTTGCTGTGTGCCGGATTATCAGAGTAGAGTAGGAGAGGAAACGTAACAAACACAAGAGTCACTGAACTGTGAGTGACTTCTTGAAACAGACACAAGAATCTGTTCTGCTGTGGACTGAACCCACCTGAGCGACCTTTGACCTTTTGGCAGGAGGTTGAAGGTATGTTTTGGTTAAATACTGCTGCGCAGGCTGACTCCACATGAACGACATGTCAGCTCCTGTCACAGGGAGAGTTTGGCTTCACAACAGGAGAAGATGTAGACGTGTCATCCATCTTTATGAGTCAGTGACAATGACTTCAGGTCAGTTTTATTTCTGATTTACTGATTTATTGTTGTTGTTGTTGTTGTTGTTGTTGTTGTTGTTGTTAACAGGGAGGATCAGTGTAAAGTCTGGAATCCATTTTTTGAACATGAAGGAATGAAGCATCACTGGCTGCCTTATCAACACCCTGACCGTAAGTACACACATTTAAATACACACATTTAAATACACATTATATACACACATGAACTACACATCCACCCATTTTTCCAAACTGAAGATTAAATGAGTTTCCTCTTTGTGTGTGTGTGTGTGTGTCTGTTCAGATGTTAATGTCATCAGTCAGGAATCTGTTATAAAAGGAAACTTGTGGTCACTCGTCTTTAACTCTTTACGCTCTGAATAAATATTTAGTTTTCTCTCTTTGAACTTTGAACATTCCACCTTAAAAGTTCCTCCTTAAACTCTGAGATATGATGTATAATGATTTTATGTTGGGTGTGTGTGTGTGTGTGTGTGTGTGTGTGTGTGTGTGTGTGTGTGTGTGTGTGTGAGTGTGTGTGTGTGCGTGTGTGTGTGCGTGTGTGTGTGTGTGTGTGTGTGTGCGTGTGCAGCTGACGAGCGCTGCAGTCTGTTCTGTCAGTCCAAGGAGACGGCGGCCGTGGTTTCCATGAACAGAATGGTGCATGATGGGACGCCGTGTTCCTACAGCGACGCCCACAGCGTGTGCGTGCGAGGAGAGTGTGAGGTCTTTATTTTCAGTTTCTCGTTAGTCTGTTTTTTATATTAAGGAAGTTTTATTGGTACAAAAAGTCTGACATGTGTCCAACAGATATGAGTCCAAACAGGAAGTACCGATAAATCACTAAACACTAAGTGTGTTTACAAGATGTCTAAAAAGCTCATTTGTTATTTCAGTGCGACTCAAATTGGACTTTTACAATCCGTGTAAAACTAAATCAAACTTCTCACAGTCGGACTAAAACACCTGGATAACGTCCGTGATTACACCTCAATCAGAACCAAACTGGACTGGACAATCTGAGCATGCTCCACAGTTACCGCGCTGGGTGTTGACCCGGAAGTCGAACTGCATTAATGTGTAAAAGAACAAACTGTGATGAAGGTATCTACATGGTGAAGATTACGAACAAAATAGACAGGAATCTCATTTATAAATATGCACACCATGGGGCCTGAAACTGGCGTACGCCACTTCCCACACAAAGTTTGTGATCACCTTCATCCTCACGGAGAGCCGACAGCTGGACTGAATAATAGAGTCAAGCTGATCTGTTGTCGTCCTCTGTCCCTGTGCCCGGGCGAGCTGACATCATATGTTTATAGTTCATAACCAACTCACACGATCTTTCCTCAAATAGAACATATTCCAAAGTGTTATTCTTTGTTGTTTTTTGATAATCTGACTTGAACTGCTCCACACTGCCCCTATGACTTCTGATGGTATTGCAACATTTGGTTTGTGTCCGTAAGCTTCTAGAAAACCCAAGTCCTCCTTAGTCCGCTAAGATCTCCTCTTCTTCTCTGTCCTTACTTCCTGTCTACTCTTGCAGCATGTGGGCTGTGATGGACAGATTGCGTCAGACCAGCAGGTGGACCGATGTGGAGTCTGTGGAGGAGATAACTCCAGCTGTAAGATCATCAAAGGAAACTTCACCCGCAGCACCAAGAAAGCAGGTCTCTGAAAAACCTCTAACCACTTCAGGCTGCAGTCACTAAAAAGAACTACCTCTGGAATAAGTCATTATGTTCCCATGGTCCAGGTTACCTGAAGATCCTGGAGATCCCTAAAGGAGCACGTCACCTGCTGATCCAAGAGTTCAGAGAGACTCCTCACATCCTGGGTAAGAGGGAAGGGGGGCTTGTCATGTCAAACACACAGAGGTTAGAGTTCACCATTTGTGGAATACTTTTTTAGACAGTTTCTTTCTCCAGCTATGAAGAACCAGGAGACGGGTCACCTCTTCCTGAACGATGAGGACGAGCTCCCTGACTCTCGAGTGTTGATTGAGAAAGGTGTAGTTTGGGAGTACATCAACAACGAGGAGCAGGAGTCCATCCAGACCACAGGACCACTGAAATATGGAGTCCTGCTCATGGTCAGTGTCCTGATGAGGGAGTCCAATGTGCTGTCATTGTATCTGAATCTGAATGTACCATTTGCCTGTGTGTCCGTCAGGTACGTTCCCATGACGACTCCAAGGTGACAGTGTCCTATACGTACATCATCCAGGACCGTCTGTGGTCCTCGCTGGAGTCTAACCTGCTGCAGGAAGACGCTATCTTCTACGAGTGGGCCCTGAAGAAGTGGTCCCACTGCTCCAAACCCTGTGGGGGAGGTAAACTACTTTGTTGTAGTCAGCTGACTATGTGGTTACCAGGGCAACAGCTGCATGGTAGTTTACAGTATAGGGTCGGCAGTAGCTCAGTCTGTAGGGACTTGGGTTGGGAACCGGAGGGTTGCCGGTTTAAGTCCCGGCACAGACCAAGTCCGGAAATTGGTCTGTCACCTGGAGAGGTGCGAGTCCACTTCCTGAGCACTGCCGAGGTGCCCTTGAGCAAGGCAACTAACCCCAAAACTGCTCTGGATCGCTCTCACTCTGAGGCCTCTCCATTAATGCATGTCCACAGGATCCCGTTTGTGCATGTGTGTGTATTGTGGCCTATGTGTGTGTAGCACGTTAATTAAACAGAGTGTAAAACTGAATTTCCCCTTGCGGAATTAATAAAGTCTAAATTATTATTATCTGGTTGTCAGGGAAACAGTATACACGGTTTGGCTGCAGGAGGAAGGCTGATGGAAAAATGGTTCACAGGATGTTTTGCTCCAACATCAACAAACCGAGAGCAATCAGCCGCAACTGCAACAGCAACACCTGCAGCTCGCCACGGTAACGCACAATTACCATGGTAACACACTGCTGATACAGAGCTCATCATGTTCAGTTAAGGAGAGAGAGGGCTGAGAGATTGTGCTGTTTGTTTGAACTTTAGCAATGGGAGAAGCATACAATAATTTAATCGAGGCTATAAGTAACAGACCTAATCCCACATTTTCCAGAACTTTGATGAAATATTTCCACTCATGAACATAATTTTTGTCATCTTTGCCAATGCAGCCATAGAAATGTGACCTTTCCAGCTAATGCAGGACAACGATCAGATTGTGTACACCAACAGTCCACCGAAGTTGCTACCTCAGCTCAGAGCTTGCAGCTCCTTAAATAATTGTGGTACATTTTTGGAGCCCACATTATGAGGAACTGATTCTGGTGCTTCTTGTACCAGTATGGGACAATTTTTAGGATCTAGCCAAAACTCGATTAAACCTTGACTCTGTAGTGCCGGAGCAGATCTCCCGCCAGGGTTGCCCACTGACCCTGATTCTCTTTCCGATCTAGCAATTGAACCGCTCGCAATGGCTCTTCGGAACAGCCAGGGTGTCTCTGGTGTTTGGAGAGGGGGTACAGAGCATAGGGTGTCTTTATATGCAGATGATCTCCTATTATATGTTTCAGACCCAAATACCTCTCTTCCAGCAGTTCTCTCCCTGCTTGAGCAATTTGGATCTATATCTGGATACAAGGTTAATATGCACAAGAGCGAACTGTTTCCAATTAACAGAGAGGCGTTTGACTTAGACGACAGCAGTATTCCATTCCAAATTGAAGAGAGACTATTTGCCTATTTGGGAGTGGTTGCTGCCCGACAATTTAAGAACATTTTGAAAGAAAATGTTATTACCCTGTTAAACCAGGTCAGAACACTACTATCAAAGTGGTCCCCTCTCGCATTATCGCTCGCTGGGCGAATACACTCCATAAAAATGAATATACTCCCAAAATTTAGATATTTGTTTCAGTGTGTCCCAGTACTTGTTCAGAAATCGTATTTTGTTTCACTGGATTCCATTATCTCCTCATATATATGGCAGGGCAAGAGGCCTCAAATTAGCAAAGCCCTGCTTCAGAGACCCAAAGGGGATGGAGGTTTGGGGCTCCCTGATTTGCATCACTACTACTGGGCTACCAGTATTCGTTGTATTGCTTTTTGGACTCGCTTTTATCTCCAGCCCGACGGTCCAGACTGGACATCTCTGGAGCTAAATTCATGCCGAGACATCTCCCTCCCTGCACTCCTCAGTGTGCTGCTTGACTGCCCCATACCAAAATCACTGGATAATCCAGTGGTACGTCATACCCTTCGGGTGTGGATCCAATTTAGGAGATCCTTTCGATACAAACTCTTTTCCCTTTTGAGTCCGATTGCCTCCAACCACCTTTTCACCCCCTTGCGTTCTGACTCAACTTTTTGGACTTGGCATGAAAGGGGCATCAGATCGTTTGCGGACTTGTTTGAAGACGGCTGTTTTGTTTCCTTTAATCAATTGACTGAGAAATACAATCTACTAAAAACGCACTTCTTTCGATATTTACAGGTGCCTTTTTTCCCTTCAGTACCCATAGCTAACCCAATAGATACCTTTCTTTCCTTTGACCCACTGTCTAGAGGTGCGCTGTCCAAGTTACACAATATCATTTCGATGCTGATATGTTCACCACTGGACAAGATTAAGGCGGCCTGGGAACAGGACTTGGGACACATCTCTGATGACCAATGGGACTCCATTCTTTTATAATACATAAATCCTCAATCTGTGCTAGACATTGTCTACTTCAATTTAAGGTGGTCCACAGGGCTCACATGTCCAAGGTTAAGCTGTCCAGCATCTACCCCGATATAACTCCCACCTGTGACAAATGCAATTATAGTGATGCTACCCTGATACATATGTATTGGCTGTGTCCTAAATTGCAGAAATTCTGGCATGACATCTTCCATACTTTACCTACCCTTGCCCTGTTTGGTGTTGCTAGTGGAGATAAACCCCACCTGACTTCTACAGAACACTGCATGGTCGCTTTTGCCATGGTCTTGGCCAGACGTGCAATCTTGCTGAAATGGAAGGGTGCTGCCTTGCCCACGCTTTACCAGTGACGTCAGGATGTAATGTCCTGTCTCAAACTCGAGATGTTATGTTTTTCTGTCAGAAGCTTGAAGAGGAAATTCTATGAGACATGGGAACCTTTCTTAACCAACACTCAAACTAAATCATCATGAGATGAACTTTGATCTGGCCCTTGGTATAAAAAGTAAGATCTGATTCTGTGTGGTGAGCTGCAAACTAACTCTTACATATTACGCCTTAATTTTTTCAGGACAGCTGGGGATGGGAGGGTGGGAAGGGCTTTTGCACTTTATCAGGTATTACTGTCACTGCCACAGAGACTTGTTTGTCTTACTTGTTCTGCACATTACTATACCATTTGTGGCAATGTGAAATATTACTGCCCAACCCTGGTGTTTTCTATGTTTTATCATTCTTTTTTTGTATTTTGTGTTTATATATATATATGACGAAAACTCAATAAAGATATTCGAAATAAAAAATGATGTTCATAAATGTTAACGTCATGGTCAACCATTCAAATCAAACATTTGAAAGTTGTTTCCTAGAAATTACAAAAGCAGCTTCAGTAAACAATTTGATGTTTATAAAATGTGACATAGTGCTTAATATGACTACATGGTTTAAGAGTTTATGGACATAGTAGAAAATAAAAGTAAAGGAGGATATAACAACCGTAACATCCTTCTCTTTCTGACCTTCAGCTGGGTGACCGGAGAATGGGAGGACTGCAGCGCCTCCTGTGGTCAGACAGGGTGGCGACGGCGCTGGGTGAGCTGCCAGCAGGTGACCAGCACAGGACAGGAGGAGAAGGAGAAGAAGCAGCAGCAGCGGTCGGTGCACAGCAAACTGTGTGGCGAGGACCGACCAGAAGGCAAACAAACCTGCAACCGTTTCCCCTGCCCCGCTGCATGGCGAGCTGGGCCCTGGACCCCGGTATTGAAAAAAAACAGGGGACTTTTCATAAACTTATTATTTTACACTTTTGACACTTTCCACACCAGTCTTAGCTGACTGCATAAACTATCCATCGTTCTGGACTACTTAACACTTTATGGTTTTGCGACCCAAACTTTCTTTTGAGACTACATCAATCATCCTTTTCTGCTGCCTCCCTCTAGTTTTGGACTTTATGTTGAATTTCTGTCTTTCTAGACTACTTCTAACTTCACTACCTGTAACTTTCATCACTCTTGATTACCTCGTTCCACATTTCTTGGCCTACCACAATAACAACTCAAGAGCTGTGATATTTGAAGTTAAATATTAGTTTTGAACTTGGTCTGATTGATATCTGTTTGTTTGTAGTGTTCTGTATCATGTGGAAACGGGACTCAGGAGCGTCAGGTTGCATGTTCGAGTCCTGAGGGTTTAGTCCAAAACTGCAGCGAGCCTCGACCAATCACAAACCGTTCCTGCCTGGCCCCACCCTGCAGTGGTAGGCATGAACCAATCCAATACTAATCAAGCAGTATATATTTGTGCACTCAAAAAAGCGGGTTTCAGTGTAACTAAATGTGTTTGTCTCCCCCTGCAGGCGACCAGAGGAACTCAATAATTCAGTGGTTGTCCAGATCCAACCCAGACTTCCCAGCTCTAAAGTCCCCTTCCAGTAAAAAAAAAACACAGACTCCTCCTCTTCCGGTCTTTTTTCCTAATTGTCTAGAATACTGTAACGATAAAATTCCTGTATGACAGTGCTTGTTGTTAGCTTTGGGCTCCCTTCGTTTTAATTCAATGACTCTTGTACCCTTGTAAATAAAAATGGTAAATTTGCACAAACTGCAGATATATATAGTCTTTAAACAGCTTAACTAATGATCCTGAAATCACCTGCTTGGACTCACTGATAACCTACTCTGTCTCCAGGGCAGCGTTGCCGTGGTGACCGCTCAGTGTTCTGTCGGATGGAGGTTTTAAGTCGGTACTGCTCCATCCCTGGATACAGGCAGATGTGCTGCAAGTCCTGCAATGAGATAAACTCCAGCAACCCTAGTAACTCCAGCAACCCAGATAACTTCAGCAACGTTAGCACAACAAACCCACCAACCACCAACATCAGGTGAGAGACAGGGTTGACAGGGGTTTTTCCATTATCAGCTACGGGCTAAATCACGGCTTATGCTGGCCTTACACCTAACAACGTTTCAAGCTATTTCAAAGCCATAGACAAACTTTTCAAGCTCCCATGATCTCAGGCCTCTTTGTCCTAAGAATAATTTGAATCCAAAAATCTGTCCTAACCTGTTGTCTCTGATATTTATTATTCTTGTCTTGTAGTTCCTGGAGTTTAATCACAGAGATGATGACTGCGTCAACATCCTCTTGGTCCAACAGCAGCTACATCATCAGTGACATCATCGGTGACTTCAACAGCACTCCACCTGTTGATGTCAGTGTAACTCAACCTCCAACCAGCAGGATCAGCACTGACTTCATCTATGTGGACTACAATGATTATGATGATTTTTCTGCCTACGAGGATCCTTATATTCCCTCCGACCCAACTGAAATAATTTCAGTTATTACTACAACCACTGCTTCCACTACTACCACTACTACTGCATCTACTACAAGGCGCCCAAGAAGAACTGCCCCACCACATTTGTTCAAGAGGAAAACTACCACTCCAATATTGCCACATGCTACAGCTACTGCTGAGAGTACAACGTTGGTGCCTGTCAGGACGACAGAGTTCCCCATCACAACCACTGATGACATCATCACTACAACATCAGTACCCAACAAAACATCAGGGGGGCAAAGCCTTCAAACTAAAGATTATCAAACAAAAACGAATCCAACGCCAATATCCTCTTTCATACCGCTCTCCAAGAAGGAGAACAACTCGGTGGACGAGGTTCCATACCGGATTGTGGGATTGGACGGTGACATCTCCAGAGGACAGCAGAACCACTTTGTACCACGGATGCCTCCATTCCGGGAGCGAACACAAAACAAACGCATCCAGCAGCTCCTGAATGAGAGAAGACGAAAGGACCTTTTGAGGAGGTCCGACGGGAGCCGAGAGGGCAGGACTGACAGGAAACAGGGAAGATTGTAAAAACTGGTTTGAATTTTATCGTTCACTCACAATGCCGCATGTCCAGCTTGCTCACTTCCTGCTAACGCTAATAAACTCTTCATGAGAAACAGAAACAGACTGTAGAGCTGAAAAAAACTGAAAAACTGATGATGATTTCTTTACTTCTTCCAGAAACCTTTGAAGCTGTTCAGACCAACAGTGAAGCAAGTCTTTAGCCCTTTTCAGAACGCCGTTTCAAGACACAATATTTACATCCCTGTTTCGCATTCAATCTAAATGTCACAGAGGCGTAATGGGGGGACCAAGTGATCCCCCCCTTCTGTACACCAATGTTACGCCACCGTGGAATCAATATGAATGTACGTACAAAGACGCGTTGGCAGCTGAGCTTAGTTAGGATGCTTTTGCTGAAAGGCAGTCTGATTCAAGTATCTTTAGTTTGAATGTGGGATTGTGTGTTTTTGCCGTTGGTTAAACACAACCTTGTAATATTGGCCCTTCCAGTTTAACGACCTGTAAACTAGGATCAGTACCAGGTCCCAGTTTGATGACCTGTTAGCTAAGAGCAGAACCAGGTCCCAGCTTGAAGACCTGTTAGCTAGGATCAGTACGAGGTCCCAGTTTGATGACCTGTTAGCTAAGAGTAGAACCAGGTTCCTGTTTGATGACCTATTAGCTAAGAGCAGAACCAGGTCCCAGCTTGAAGACCTGTTAGCTAGGATCAGTACCAGGTCCCAGTTTGATGACCTGTTAGCTAAGAGCAGAACCAGGTCCCAGCTTGAAGACCTGTTAGCTAGGATCAGTACCAGGTCCCAGTTTGATGACCTGTTAGCTAAGAGCAGTACCAGGTCCCAGTTTGATGACCTGTTTGCTAAGAGCAGTACCAGGTCCCAGTTTGAAGACCTGTTAGCTAAGAGCAGAACCAGGTCCCAGCTTGATGACCTGTTAGCTAAGAGCAGAACCAGGTCCCAGCTTGAAGACCTGTTAGCTAGGATCAGTACCAGGTCCCAGTTTGATGACCTGTTAGCTAGGATCAGTACCAGGTCCCAGTTTGATGACCTGTTAACTAGTATCAGTACCAGGTCCCAGTTTGATGACCTGTTAACTAGTATCAGTACCAGGAGTTCTGTGATGACATTCTGTTCTGGCTAGCTTCTCACCACATGGCTCCACAGAGTGAGAGTTTCACTAACATGTCTCACTAAAGTCTGAAATCTCTCCGACTGCAGCAACATTAACCCAAAATAAAATATTTGACTGATTTAAAGACAATAAAAAAAGGTTAAAAAGATTCTGAAAGGGTTAGGGGATGATGTGGATTTGTAAAATGTCTGAATTCCGTTTTTTGTCAGGACTGTCTTTGTGATGAAAACACAACTTTAAATTGATAATTTTTTGAATGGAGTTGGGTTTGACCACTTTTGATGCCACATCAGGACGTCAGGTGAATCTAAAGGCTGACTGACTGACCGTATCAAGATTTAAATGTCTATAATGATCATGTCACTTCACTTGTGTTGCCTGCTGAAAGTTGATGTTTTTTACTTTTTTTCTAATTGATCTGCTTTTTCACGCTGCTTGAAACATTTTGCTTTTCTTTTGGTCTGAACACGACTTTGGAGTCCATCAGAGCTCTTTTTCTTCATGCTGTTTGTACTTAATAATCCTGTTTTTAAATAAAGCAAAATCTCACGCAGCTACTGATGTCATCACAACTCACCTGTTCACACCTGGTTACCCTTAAAGTTACAGACCAACATTCAGGTAGATCATATTCTGCTCGTCACTTCTGTAAGAGTAAGACGTTAAGATTTATACTTTTCAGCTGTAGGCTAAATATGGAGGCACAGCTGACAGCTGGTTAGCATGGCATAGCATTACAGCTAAAAGCAGGGGGGGAAAGATGGACTGTTCCTGTTTAAAAATGGTAAGACTGAGGCTCTCATTCATTCAGAATAAATTACAGTCTCTAATATCTCTGTAACTCTTCATCATGTTCTCCCTCTATCGTCTCTGAGTCTAACTCTTAAAGCATATAGCTCTGATGATCTTCAGACATAAAACACAGTTAGCTCTTGTTTAGTGTGTGAATGTGGAGAGAAGCTATCTGCACCTTTACTCTGCAAAGAGCTGAAAGAGCTGCACTCTCATGCTGGTGGAGCTGCACTCTCACGCTGACGGAGCTGCACTTTCAAACAAAGCTTCTTCTCTGAATGGAGTGAGAAAGGACGACTCAAAGACAACAACACTCACATGGTTATCATGGTAACGGCTCCAGAGCGTCTCAACACATGTGGATGAAGTCTGAAGCCGCTGACTGCCTCTGCTTATATTAATAAAAGTCATGTCAATCATATTTACACATCTCACATCACGTCACATCTCTTATAAATACTGCGGCGCAGTTACCACCAACTCATAGCAGACGCTTATTTTCTCACTCTAACTGTGCATGGCTGTTAGCTCCCCCTGTCTGTGAGTGAGAGTCTTTTTACAATGAGGCTGATTTACAGAGAAAGAGACGATTGTTCCCCAAATGACTGATGAATCATTTAAACACAAACAGCAGCGATGCACTTTAGGGATGTTCCAGCGTTCCACCTCCGGCCTGCTGTCCTCCTTGCAGGTGAACGTCTACGTGTCTGAATGTGGTCGCTCAAAGCTCCGGTCAATATGAAACTGCTCTGATCCAATGAGATGCATTCTGTTCACTGTGCTTCTTTAAATCCTGGTAGTAGAGAGAGGAGAGCAGGTCCGACCGACATCAAGGTCCAAAATATTAAAGGTCCCATATTATGCTTTTTCTGGTTTTATATGCTCTTTAGTGTGTTTTCCAAGTGTCCTGTGCACTTTTGCACATCTATGTGCAAAAATTCAAAGTCTGCAGAAACGCGGCTTCTCCTATGTCCTCCTGTTAGCTGTAGCATTAGTCGCATGTAACGCTCGGTTCTAGCCCCCCTCGATAAAAATTTGTCAGTGCGGCGTCATTGTCAGTGTGAGATCACTCATCTAAGTCCATTGGCTCGTTGTGGCAAGCCCAGCAGCTCATGTTGAAATTTCCGAGACGCGTGTTGAGCAACTGACCAATAACGACAGAACTGATCGGCAGACTTGGCCCACGTGGGGTCTAACAGTGTGGGCTCAGCAGAGTGCAGCTGACAGACTCAGAGCGTAGAGGGAGCAAGGAGGAGCAGTACATGAAAACAGACACTTTTTTCGGACTTTAGCTATTGTAAACGTACAAAAGTAGGTACATAGATTAAATATACGAACCCCAAAAAGGGCATAATATGGACTCTTTAATAATTAATTTAACCGAGTACAAATGCTGGTGCCGAGTAGTGAGGGTGATGACGTTTAACTGTTAAGTTGACTTATTGCACACGTCCCTGAAAGTTTTGTATCCAGGTTTAAACCTCTCTGACCTGCTGAGTTCTCGGTCTGTTTATGATCGCAATGAGATCTTTCTGATTCAGAGTGTTTCTGTGTTTGTCTCATGAGCAGTTGCTGAGGATCAAACTGAATTCAGATCAGATGAGTCAGCTTTGTGTATTAATGTCTGCGGTCTGAGTCGATCAGTGGAACCAGCTGACTGCTCGTCCAGTTTGTTTCTTCTTCTTCATGGAATCCATCAGAGACGAGAATCAGACACGTTCAGCTGCACGTTTGTTTCTCTGTGAATCACTAAAATCATTTAAAGATGATTTCTGTTAAACAAAGTAAAAAAACTTTAACGATGAGATGTTTCTCAAATGTTTGTTTAGAGAGTCCAATCAGTCATACTAAATAAAACAAAATAAAAGTGATCAGTTTGTGTTGTTATTGACCTAAAACTTGATAACATAATGTCCTCAACACCTAATAATTTTATTGATTTCATGGTAATTTTATTTTTACTATTTTTTATACTATTTTTAGTATCTATCTATTTTTTTGTACATTCTTATTTTTTCTTTTTATATTTAAATTGTACTGTGTTCACTTTCTGTTTGCAATCTTTGCTCTTTACTGCTGTAACACTGTAAATTTCCCCATTGTCGGATAAATAAAGGATTATCTTATCTTATCTTATCTCTTAAAATAACATCTTAAAGGTTTTTCTCTTTATTTATTAAACTACAATATTTACATTAGATTTGTACATTTGTCAAGTGGACTTTACTCTATGTTTCAACATTTTAGAAGCAGCTTAATATTGTCTCGCAAGTTTTTTTAAACTTTTATAATGTTTTTATTTTTTACAGTGCATCATTAATATAATTAAAGATTGTTTGGGTTTTATTTTGTTGACTAAGTGCTTCACACGGGTATACATGTATATATATATTATTTAATTTAAATGATCAATATACGCACATTTATTTATGTAAATACTATAATTGACATCTTAATTGACCCATCTGTCACATAAATGCATTTTTCTTAATATCATGTTACGTCAGCATCTTTTGCACTATTCACCATTGCACTGTTTCATATTTAGTCATGTAAATATTAATCTTTTCTTATTATGTTTATTGTTGATATTTAATGTTGTACCTGTACATATGAGAGCACAGTTCACCAAAGTTAAATTCCTTGTGTGTGTAAGCATACCTGGCCAATAAATCTGATTCTGATACTATAACATACAGAAAATAAAATAATTTATAAAAATGAAAGGAGATGGTTTAAAATCACAGTTCTGAAATACCGGTACATATAACAATAAAATAAAGGATAAAAGCATTAGTAACGTTTTAAAAACGTCTCCAGTGAGCCTGTGAGGACAAACCCGGGCTGTAACGGTCCACTGGCTGCCTGTCAGTTCAAACTCCGGGCTGTAACAGTCCACTTTGTGTGCCTGTGAGGACAAACCCGGGCTGTAACAGTCCACTTTGTGAGCCTGTCAGTTCAAACTCCGGGCTACACAGTCCACTCAGTATGCCTGTCAGTTCAAACTCCGGGCTGTAACAGTCCACTGCGTGTGCCTGTGAGGACAAACCCGGGCTGTAAAGTCCACCTTGTGTGCCTGTCAGTTCAAACTCCGGGCTGTAACAGTCCACTTTGTGTGCCTGTGAGGACAAACCCGGGCTGTAAAGTCCACCTTGTGTGCCTGTCAGTTCAAACTCCGGGCTGAAACAGACACTCTGTCAGCCTGTCAGTTCAAACTCCGGGCTTTCCGACCCTCGTCCCGTCCTTGACAAACAGTAACACGGAGCTAAGATGGCGGCCACCGTAGTGAGAAGCATCGGCTCCACTTTGGGCAAAAACCTCAGAGAGATCCGCGTGCACCTCTGCCAGAGCTCAGCCGCGAGCCAGGGTGCGAGGTGAGTCTCGAGCCGACCCCGAGAGGCGGGAAAACCCGGGAGTGTATTAACAGAAACGTTAATAAGAAGTGTGTTGTCTGTTAGCTTAGCATAATTGTGACTGCTGCTGACAGCTACAAACAGCTAGCTAATGCTAACGATAGAATGACCTCAAAGAGTGGCTAGAAGTTAGCATATAACTGCTAACAGCTACCGTACGCTAACGTCCTGTAAAGTATTTATTAAATATGTTAATCACGGCTCGGTCTGAAATGAGCGACCTCCTTTATTATTCAACACAATGTTGACGGAGCTCCGGTGTATCGGATTAAAGAGTGACCGTGTTATCTGGTGACTTCCAGTGAATTGTTGAGGACGTAAAAGAGTTCCTTTTAATTCGGTTGTCATCATCATTATTATTATTATATCGTCAAAATATTCGTCAGATATGTCTTTAATGGAAAATAAACAAACAGACTATTTTAGTTTTCAACAGCGGTTGCAACCACGATATCTACAAACTCATCGGCTGAAAGTCTCCAGATAACACGGTAACTCTTTAACGCGATACACCTGTTCGGTCTGTAGAGTGAGGTTGAGTGAGTAGCGGCAGTCAGTAGATTCTTTAAATATGCCACAGTTGAGTGAGTCTTCATAACACCAGATTTTTTAACTTCATGATTTAAGTAAATCATACTTTGTTTTGTTACCACGGCAACAAAAATTGACCCCCTACACCCAATGTTGGATAATGTATCGTTTTCAATTATCAGAACTTGGAGACACACTCCTGTCTAAATAACACAAAATCATTGTGTGTGTGTGTGTATCAGGGACTTTGTGGAGCAGCAGTATGTATCGCTAAAGAAGATGAACCCGGACTTCCCGATCCTGATCAGAGAATGTTCTGGAGTCCAGGCCCGAGTCTGGGCCCGATACGGTGAGTACACCTGGCTCTCTTAGTGCAGGGGAGGGGGGCTGCGTTATACTGTTTATTTACATGAGTCCACTAGAGGCTGAATAAGGCTACAGAAGCACAGGAAGTCACACACACACCCATTCTAAAAGCCTGTTTTTACAGCAGAGATTTACATGTTTACAGCCTGGTTCAAAAAAACAAATAAATCTGATTAGCTTATATCTCGATCGACACACACTGTACGGGGGGGTGAATGTTTTGATGACTCATCAGTTTTGATTTGATGAAGGATAAGAGTTATTCTCAATAAGGCGTGTAGCTGACCTGATTGACAGGCGGGCGCGGTGTAACGGTTTGTCAGGAGGCTTAAAACCCGCCTCAGCTCTCAGCCTGTCGTTAGGTTGACTGAAAGTTAGGCTGAGACAGCATTTCCAGCATGGAGACCGCAATCGATGGGACTCCGGCGCCCCCTGCAGGAACAGACGGGTGACGTCACTCAGGCTTCAGTCATTCTTACAGTGTCCGGTTTAAACGGGTAGAAATCAACATTATATTCAGATGAAAACTTCCACAAGTCACGACTGATTCATCCACTAACAATAATATGTTTTTGTGTTCAGATTTCGGGAAGGAGAGCAGCGTCTCTGTGGACAACATGTCAGCTGATCAGGTGGCCTCAGCGCTGCAGACTCTGGTCCAGTCCAAACCCTAACTCCCCCCTTCATGAAGTGGTTCAGTCCAGACCGGCCTCATTCCTTCAGTTGATGTAAATGTGTTGATATGAATAAACTCCTGTATTATTGAG